AAGTTGTTTGGTCACATTGCACGTGTATTGCAGCACGGCGTCATCGGGCCACAACCGATCGACGGAGATGCTGATGGATAAGGAATTACTTGACATGGCGGAGACATCCTGAGTCCCGTAGACTTGGGAGGTGCCGATAGACACCCTCAGCGAAGTCAAGGAGCTGTTTGATCCGCTCAAAAGAATATAGTTGAGAAATTCATCGAAGACTTGGAAGGAGATATGAAGGGGTTGCGGCGAACCAGCCTGAATGACGACTGGCTCAACGGACATGATGGCGTTTGATACAGAGAGAGATGGGGTGACGATGACGTAATGAGAGAGCGTAGTCATGCTCAAATAACGAAAGGCTAAAGTGAAATTTCCTGCTCGAGTGATTGTGAGGTTTTCAAACTTGTACAACGAAGATGATCCTCCAGTTGCCCGAAGTGAAGTCGAGCAATGGCCAAGTAAGAACTTCTGAACTGCTGTGCACTGGTAGAGGAGAACGTCGGTGTTCGACACACTGACTGACATCGCAACATCAGTGGAAAGAAGATTGCCAAAGATGTCCTTCACCGCCATCTCTACAGTGAACAGTTCACCAGCCACCAAGGTTTGCGGGAACTCTTGCAAGAAGTCTATGGAGAATGGAACTGTCGGCAGAACGTAGAAAATTTTCGAAGGCAGGCTGTGGTTCTTCATTTCCAGACATTCCTCCACGTTGTACAGATTCGCTCGAACAACAAAGCTTCCCGACAAGTTCATGCTGAAATCGAAGCGGATGCCATAGGAGGTTTCTGTTCCGTTCACTTTCAGGAAGGGTACAGACAGCCCTGTTGTCGCATCGTATGCTCCCACGTCCAGCCACATCGCACTATCTGGTTTCCTGCAGATGGAACCAGCACAAGTCCAACCTTGATCAAGACTTGTGTCAAATTTGAGCACTTTCAGCTCAATACCCCCGGGGACCAGCTGCCCTGCTGTTCCATTCTTGATGTCTGAAACAAACCTCAAGTTCCTGATAGGATTTGCGACGATGTCAAAGTTCGCCAAAGTCTCCAAGGTCTTGAGCCCCCCTGTGAATCGATGACGCAGCAGCAACGTGTAGTAGCTGGTCATATTCAATATGATGTTCCTGACAACAATCTCTCCATTGGCCGCTGTGGAGAGCGGAAGCTGGCTGCTCAACTGGGTAGGCATGCAGGGCTGAGTCGTCAGTTGAATCACAAAGTTTCCTTGTGCGATGCTAGCATTGCTCAGTGCAGAGCTCTTGTAGAAGACTGTCGCTGCATTCTGTGCCTGACTGAACCCCCTTGTTGTACTGCAAACCTCCACGAACGTCGTCTGGCTGAGCTCTTCAGGCGTGAAGCTGCATCGACCGCGAAGGCTTGAAATCACCCAAGAAAACGAACCGGAGCAGGTGACATTGGGTAGCGTGTCGCAGGAGTATAAGAAGAAAGTCCTCCCGTTGACTTGAGATGACTTCTTGTACGAGAGATAGCTCTCTCCTGTTTTCGTCTCCCTGATATACACTCCATCATAGTCGGAAAGGACGATCTTTTGTCCTGCAGAGTTGTATAGAGTAGAGAGACTGCCATCGATGGAAGAAACAATTGAGGATACATTCACATTGATCATGTCTCCAGAGCATGAAACTACCTCCATGCTCGTTGTTCCTCCGCTCACAGGGACTGTAACTTGTCCAGAGACAAAGAGTGAGGATCCTTTGATGGCAACGGTGGGCTCAGGACTTAACGGACAACCCACGACTCCCAAGGAAGGTTGCGACAGAACTGTCAATCTCTCTGGCGAATAAGTTCCAAAGCTTGGAGATGAGATCGAGTATGAGTTAGTAGGGCAGCTGGCTGTTTCGCACTTGAATGAAAATATGAGCTGAAGACTGTTCCCGAGCCCGTTCACAGCGAGATTTTTGAATTCCGCAACGCCCATCACCAGTTGTTGTGAACATTGGGCCGACACAACATTGTTGCACATGATTCGAGCGTTTTGTTGGTTCGCTGCAATGCTTACTGTTACTGACGAGCTGCTCGTGGATGCCATGTTCCCATATTTATCCAATGCCACAAGTTTCGGGTAAGGGTACAACACCCCACCATAAGTGCAGCTCTGTACACCGGAAGTGACCAATAAACACGTTGCTTGCGAAGGGAAACTATCTATTTTCAACATACTGGCAGCAGCAGGCTGCACCTGGAAGGAGTTGGTGATGGCCATCAGTGACATGGAATAAATTCTCAATGAAAACGTGCCAATGGAGGTCAAGCATGCACTGTCGAAGGTTACCAAACCTGCACTCGACATACGAGAAGCAAGAGGCGAGGAAGGACATGAGTTACTTGTAGCTTGAGTAACTAGGTTGCCTGCTTGATCAACAACAACTATATACACGGGGATCTGATCTGCAGCTTGAACAACATTTCCAAACTCATCAACGAATGACGCGACCAACATGATGCTTGCAGTCTCACTTGCTGTCAACAGCGCAGGAGGCTGCTGGACGACGTCCAACCGAGTCACTGCATCAAATGGCATCACCGAGAACAGAGGGCTTTCCACTGAGGCGATGTATCCTGTATTACAAGATCCTCCAGCAGACGGCAGGTAAGCATGGAAAACGATCTTATAGCCAGCCTTTGCTTTGTTTATGCGCAGATCCGTGAAGCTGACAACTCCATTTATCGAATTTGAGACGTTTTGACTGTATGGCTCAAAGGCAAAGTCCTGAAAACCACCAGCCGAGCTGAGCTTCAGCTGCGCGCAGACTTGTACGTTATCTATTGGAACGGAGTTGTCGTACTGATCTACCAGCGCCAATCGCACGGGATACTTGGCCGTAGAAAGGACGCAAGTCTTTGAGTTCGACTGCTCACAAACCTCTCCCAGTGCCAACCCAGCTTGAGCAACATCAGCCGGCGGGAACGACGTCACCAAGAGCGAGCGAACTACTTGCGCTGGCGCTGGGAATGAGATCATCGTGAGCATGGAGGGGTAGATATCTGAATTCTCGTATGTACAGTGAGTCTCTGAGATCCCATAGCAGGAAATAAACATGATGCTGTGATCTTGGGAAGTTGCAGTCAAAACGAGGTCGGTGAACACAGCCTTGCCTTGGCTGGGCCAAACCCTTGTCGTTCCCTTCAACTGCAAGCTCTTGGGAATATGGCAGGATACAGCATAGTCGTAGTCGGTCGAAGACTCCCATCCTCTCACGCCGAGGTAACTGACAATCTTTTCAACTTGAATCACGACTTGAAACGGGGTCCCCACGGTGAGGGTCCGGGGGCTGCTGATCACCGAGAGACGACCGTAGGCGACATCGATGACATCAGAAAGTGCGAAGGTGGAGTTGAAGATTGAGTTTGCTGTACAACCTTCGCCATGGAATCTGATAGTGTAATCTCGACCTGGCAGAGTCACGCCAACGTCGGTGAAAGAAGCCGTCCCAGAAATGACATCTGCCCTAGTGCTGCCTAACAGCTCCGCACAGGTGGGATTGTTGCTCAACGAAGCTATCACGTACCTGCATTGAGCAGGAACAACAACTACAGGTTGACTGCGAAACGCCACACCTGCCACTTCCAATATCCTCCCCTTCGTAAATGTACCATCCTCTGCCTTCCACATCGAGCAATTCGAGCAAAGATGGCCGACAAAGGGAGTCGCCTGCACATGATCTTGGGCTGAGAGCAGGAAGAGGAGAGATAGAAGGATGGACCCGTCCTGGAGCTGCAGCTTGTGCCTCATCCTACCGAGCGAGCTCCTCCCCTCCCTACTCACCATCCCTCCCTCTCATTTGCTTGTCAATTCAGCGCCCCTTGGGACCAATATCCATACCCCTCGTCCCCACTCATATCCGCCGGCGTTCCGAAGTTCCGATTTTCCGGGCCCGGGACTCTGCAGTCACTGAACACTGAGCCTGCAGTCACTGTGGCCGCAGCCCATGGTGCCAGGCTGCGGCCCGGGCTGCCCCGGATCGTATCTCGGCGGCTGAGTCACAGTTCCAGTGCCGGTGACCAGCCTGAGTGGCAGTGGCAGTGGCAGTGGCAGTGGCGGCAGTGGCAGTGGCAGTCACTGAGTGGCAGTGGCAGTGGCAGTGGCAGTGGCAGTGGCAGTGGCAGTGGCAGTGGCAGTGGCAGTGGCAGTGGCAGTGGCAGTGCCCGGCCAGTGCCACTGGAACTAGTGTCAAACGGGAATTCAAGGATCAGCCGCTGTCACACAAGGGCGGCGAATTCGAGTCAGAAAACTGATTTAATGCTCTCAACATATTCTTCAGCTATAGTTTCCAACCTTCGAGCTTCCTCTTTCCCAGTTAGCAGTTCAAACATGTATTGATTCTCTGCACTGCTTGACATATCCTTGTCGGCATCATTGGCTTCCTTCCTCACAAAGTTCATCAGCTTATCTGAGTCAGAGGTTGATTCCGAGACAGCATCATATTCGATCACTTTGTCACCGTGCTCGATTCCATATTCGCTCTTTTTTGTGAGCTTCATCTTGTGCGACCTAACTCCTCCCCTTTTTCGTTTGGGAGGAAGCAATGACGAACGTTTGTTTGAGTACTGCTTGACCAGTTCATGGTCACTCAAAACCAAAGGCTCTGCAGCTTCCAAGTCCTCTTTACGATTCCCCTCCATCGTGGAATCATTCAACTCCGTGCTTTCTGTTTCACTACAGTTGGAAGAATGCTCTAGGTACCGCTCAAAATCCCTTGGATGAGACACCTTACCATTCGGATGGAATTCATACGGAATGAGTGATGGTAGCTCTGCCACTTGTAGCACATTCAATGGGAGCACCAACCCGACCGTGTCTGAGCGCAACAGAGGTTTCATGAAAGCAAGGGCATGCCTCTCACAGCAAGCGCCTGTGGCGTTTCGATACAGAACTGACCACTCCAATTTCAGGTCAACGCCCTTTTCTCGATACTCTATCAACGCAGTTTGATCGAAAGTCATGAGTTCTAACAGCACAAGCCCAGCATGAAGGTTTCCGTATTGCACAGCCATATTGTACGCGTCAAACCCGAAGACAGTCTTTGCATTGATGTCAGCTCCTGCCCTCAACAGTAGCAGAATGCATTCAACGCTCCCGTACACAGCAGCAATATGCAATGGCCTAAAGCCCAATCGATTTGGCTGATTGATGTTCGCCTGATGCTTAATCAGGAGTAAGGTAGTGTTGACTAAATTTCTTTGTACTGCATGAAAAAGAGGAGAGCAGAAGAAGTGCCGAGCATCCAGAATGTTAGGGTTGGCGCCTTGTTGAACGAGGGTTCTGGCCTCTTGTAGAGCCACGCGATCTTCTGAATGGCAGCATATCTCCTGAAGCTGCTTGCTCAAGTCTTGGCTTCCACCATGCATACTCCCAACCCCGTGACGAAAGCCATGGATAGAGGAGGCAACAAGAAAGATTGGTTGTGCTAGAATCAGGAAAATGTGGAGAAGAGAGAGGGAGCCATTTGCTCTCATCAGGATTATGAGAATATGGCAAAAACTTCATGATGGGAGTGCGAGGACATCTTCAAGTTACATCTCTCGATTCTTATCCCTTCACTGCGACTCCTCCGCGCATCCCCGAATCCGCTACCCGTTGATAACCCCACCCCATCTTCCTCGGCGAGTATTATCATCACCCCTCATTCTGACCTTTTGAGCCCTACCCATATAGCATTACCAGCGCCACCCTACCCTCCCATTGATGGACGAAAAACAAGACCAGGTCGTGGGGGTGGGTTTTCCGCTGTACATCTCTGGGGGTATACGACAATCATTTTGGGGGTAGGGGTGACATGAATCAAGACGCAGAGGTGGTCTAAGGGGTGGGTGGTGAAACGGGGGGTTGAGGGTTCATCCAAAGGAGGAGGTCACTGCAAACCTAGTTGGAAGGGTGGGTGATGTTTGCGGAAAATGGGGGGTGGGGATGTACACCTAAGCATATTCGGGTCCGAAGTAGGGTAGGGTATATTAGGTTAGCTAATCACGTTTTCTGATGGTAGAATGGTAGAGAATGGAGAAAGAGGGGGTGGGATTACTATTGAAAACTTTAGTTAAAACGTATGGGTTGCACGCGGGGGTAGGGCTACATATTAATGTTTTGGGTAGGGTAGGGTTATATGGGATACTCCTGAGGCAGGGTCTGCCTCTCTTACATAGATGGATAAAATAGGGGGTAGGGGGTGAATGTAATATAAATGTGAACGCAGTCTGGGGGGTGGGGGTGTAGATGAAGAGAAAAGGGTGGGGGGTAGGGGTCGGGTAGACGCACCGAGCCAATAATGAAGGGCATGCGGTGAAAGGGAGGAAGGAGGAAGGAGGAAGAGAGGAGGGAGGGGACGAGGTCGCACGATGAAGATGAGCAGCGAGTGTAATGATACTATCTTGGTAGAGGAGAAACTTGCATCCGTTCTCACCAGCCAAAAGCGTGGGAAATAGCACCGTGCTGCACTGAAATTTGAAAACTGAACAGAGGAGGGTGGATTACTTGCTGCTGAGATGAGTTTTCATAACATTAGTTGATCGAATAGATTCGATGATATAGAAAGATATCCTTCTGTACATCTGAAATGCATGCTGAAGTTGACCTTTGTTAGAAACATCTCTAGCGACAAGAAATTACATCGCGCATCAGGAGACTAGAAAGACAAACCCTGTTCTTTGGTTGGTTAGCAGGAGAATAGAGGTGCAGTCGTGCGATTCAGACTCATTGTCGGTGGAATTCGCTTTTTTGTCTGTGCCGCAATTATGGTAGAAAGCTTTCTATGCACTGTCGATGCATGATGCATGAACTTGGCCTCAAGGGGTAAATCTCTTGGCTCACTTTGTTCTCCTGCAGAACAGGCTCGTTTTCTCATGGGAAGAAGTCTATCACAGCATCGAGTGGGATTGATGGGGAGAATAACATGCACCAGTTTCGGTGAGTGATCGCTTGCTTGCCTTGGCGTACTGCCGCCCTCAAAGGAGGCTTCGATGTGGCGGAATGCTGCTGAGGACACGGGAGGGGGAATGCGAGTCGGGGGGGAGAAACGACCGCTCCGTCAGGATCTTCAAGATTATGATCCGAGGCAGAGACGGAGAACGGATGAAGTGAAATATCCGGATCACCAGTGGGATGATAAGGATGGACATTATATGATAACTTTGGGAGAGTCGTTGCTCCCAAGGTACAAGATTCTCAAAGTGATAGGGGAAGGAACCTTCGGCAAGGTGACCCAGTGCTGGGATCGGCACGAGAAGAAGTATGTTGCGATCAAGATCATCAAAAGCATACAGAAGTACCGGGATGCAGCCAAGGTAGAAATCAGCATTCTCAAAGACATTGAGAGGAAAGACAAGAATGGGACAAGGTGTTTTTTCAAAATCCCGTGTGCTCGAAGGGCTCAGTGACTTGTTCTTTGCCAGTGGATGCATTAGAATGCTGGAAGCTTTTGACTTCCGAGGGCACTTCTGCCTCGTGTTCGACTTGCTGGGCATGAGTATGTACGACTTCTTGAGGTGTAGACAGCTCCTAGAGCTTTCAGCTTTCATTGACTTCAATTCAGGCAAAATTCTTACCGTCCATTCTCTTTGAATGAGGTGCAGATATTTGGGAAACAGATACTCAACGCCGTTTCATTTCTGCACAACATGGGTTTAATTCACACCGATCTCAAGTTGGAAAATGTGCTGCTCGTAAATTCCGACTGGCAATATCATCGGCACGCAGTTCATGGTCGTTCCAGGGTGGTGAAGAGGAAGGATGTAGTTGTGATTGATCTTGGAAGTGCGATCTATGAGAAAGATCATCACGCAACCGTCGTGTCCACTCGACACTATCGTGCGCCCGAAGTTGTTCTCGGTTTGTTCACGCTATGTATCAACATGCTAGCTTACTCTGCCCGTCTGCTGCAGGGATGGGTTGGTCTTTTCCATGTGACCTCTGGAGCGTGGGCTGCATCCTCTTGGAGTTGTTCACTGGCGAAGCAACCTTCCAAACACACGAGAACATGGAGCACCTCGCTATGATGGAGAAGATATTCGGAAAGATTCCGCTTCACATTGTCTCGCGTGTAGAGTGAGTTCTCTCTCATGCAATCCTTGCTCTCCTGCTTTGCTGTTGATATGTCGCAAAGCGATATTCCATGCTGCATGCGAATCGATTCTCCCTTCTTGACCGCTCTGTCGCTTCTCACATATGTTTTCCTCTGCAAATTCGTTGTCAGCAGCCGCAAAGAGTCTGGTCGATACTTCAGCGACAGTGGCGAACTTCGGTGGTCGGAGGAGGCGACGCAGGACAGTGTGCGAGCAGTGGAGAAGTTGAAGCCGTTGAAGGTTTGTGTTGCCTTTCCTCTGCTATTTGCTCAGCGCGATGTTCAGAGCATGTTCGATCTGAGCCGAGAGGATCATCGTCAATTCTACGACCTTTGCAGGGAGCTGATGATCTTGGATCCCAACTCAAGTGCGTTGCCTCCCTTTCCCCCCCAACCCCCATAAGTTTCAAACCTCTTTGAGCTGATGCTTTCGACTCGTCAACAGGAATGACTGCCAGCGCCTCCCTCAATCATCCGTTCTTCCAGCTCAACATCGAGCCAGACTTCACGGACCTCACCCTCCTTCAATATCCCGATGCACCCATCCCTCCCTCCACCATGCCTGCTCCTCCAGGCCACGTCCCAGGAAAGATCAACTCAACCCAGGTCCCACGGAATACAGCGAGTGAGACTCTCCTTCAGCAGAATCCAAGGTGAGAAATGCTCCTGTCTCCCCGCTTCTCTTGTCCCCTTGCTAACCCTCCTCCGCTTCTGCTGTCGCCGTATGATTGTTGCTATCTATGCTTCCTCGCTTGCTCCTATTTCCTTGGTCTTGCAGTAGCAAGAGCTGAGCGTGTGTTGCAGCTTCCATGCAGGACTGCCTGCTGGCGGCTCGGAGACTTCAGGAAAGAGTTGGCTGCCGCAAGACATTAACGTGAGAGGAGGCAAAGTTGAGGCTTGCGATGACATGTTTGCAGGCATAGGACGAGCAGAAGAGAATAGAGGAGCATTTGCGTCGATGGGGGGTCAGCATTGCAGAGACTGGGGCTGAGGGTGTGAGAGTGCATGGAACTTGGCCAACATGCAGAGGGGGAGAGGCTGTTCACATACAGGAGGAGCTCTTTATTGATTAAAACACTTAAAGTTGTTCAGAGGTTCTCAACTAGAGCAAGAGGCTCGCGAGCTTCATCGTCCGCTCACGCCCAGAGCTCGCCTTCGTCTCTTTCACGAGACCTTCGGCCCTCAGCGCTGCTTCCGTGCTCCCCGTGTTGCTTCCCAACCTCATGAGGCGGGCCTCGAGCTGTGACCTTCTCGGCATGAAGCATGTGTCTCTGCCCCTCCGCGCTAATCCGCTCCCTCCATCGCGTGCTCCGCCCATGGCTCCGTGCACCGCAAGGGCTGTACCTAGCAGCAGCATGGCCTTAGATCTCCATGAGGAGCTGCACCCCTCGAAAGCGCCGTCAGCCTGAAGCGGCTGATCCGGACAGCAGATAGAAGGCATCCATGCCACGTCAAGGTCTAGCCTCATCCACCCCCTTTGAACTGACAGAGCAGATAGCCAAGACCACAGCCCGAGCGTCTCATGCTCCACTACCTCGAGCCCCAACCCGAAGCTTCCTTGAAGCATGTCGTCGAGGATTGGCAGCATCTCCTGCCCCGGTTTCCCTGCCGAGCTCAGTCTGCGATGCAGCGCTAGAGCGTTGTGCTCTCTAACCCCTTTACAAGAGGGGCTGGAAGGAATTGAGACCTTTGCGACGTCGAACGAGTCCGCTGGTCTTCTTGAACATCTTCTTGGGCAACCGATCTTGTTCTTGCACGAGGAGACTTGAGAGCTTCCTCGATGAGCTCTGGCCCTTGCCTTCTCTTTCTGGCAGGAGATCTTGACTGGATGCGGAACAACGCAGAGTTTCTCGTTGCTCGCAGGTGCTGAGCAAGTCCCATCCCTCTCAGTCTGGCTCGACTGATCCATTGTCTGCACGCTGGACATGGACGATTCGTTCGCCCTCCGATGCGCTGCGATATCTGCCTGGACGCCCATGGAAGCTGAGCCATGCACGTCAACTTCGTTTCTCCTGGTGAGGCGAGGAACAAGATCCTTCACAGTGCTGGCAGCATCTATGTAGCGCTCCCACCACGTCGTTCTCTGCTGCGTGACATCAGCGAGCTCCTCCTTCAGTGCCGATATCTCGTTTCTCCTCTCCTTCAGCAGACCATGAAGGTGCTCGCGTTCGTCAATGAGGATCTCGATTACACGGACTTGCCCGTTCCTCTCTTCCATGACCTTCCTGATTCTGCTTGACAGTCGTTGTTTGATACTCTTCTTGCAGTCCTCGTCTTGCTTGTTGTGAACATAATTCACTGCCGCCATGACTGCGGCGCTGGAGGCTACTCCTGCAGCAAAGGACACTAGCCCTGCGCAACCATAGTCACACAAAGTTAGCAAGGCATATTTCATCTCACCATCAAGGCCATTCGTGGCAAACGGCATGTCTTCGAGTGCAATCAGACAGGCCTTCGCTTCTCGCTTGTTCTCCTTCCCTTCCTCTCCCGCCCCCCTCCCACTTTTATCTCCACTCTCCCCTCGCCCCCCTGTATCTCAAACCGCACCCATACCCCCTGTATTTCCACCCAGAGAGCCTTTCGACCCCTGATTCTTGTACCACTACCCTCTCTGAAACCTATTTGTACCAAATTACCCCTCACTATACCTATTTGAGTACCCACTAATTCTCACACATTCTACCTGTACCCCACCATCAAGTACCCCACTCCCCATAAGTTTCCGACTACCCCGGAGATCTAAAAACTAATTGCTCGAGTTTCGATAGGAACCCCCACCCTACCTTGTTACCGGCGTCACCAGTAGAAAGAGGAGGGTACGGTCAGCCTCAGTCGTATCGATAGGTGTTAACTTATCAAATTATCTGAATCGTTGTGAAATCAAAACGTTTCACACTTTATGAAGGGGCGGTACGTGCATTTCTGAAGCAGGCTCGCCTCAAGGAGTTATGAAGGTCCCACCAGGCCATCTCTCCACCGAACTTCCGGGGCACACCCAAGGTCAGCGATTTACTAAGTGGCTGATTAATAGATTCACGGTGTCCTCAATCGCGGCAATCGCCTCCGGACCCCTCAGCCAGGGCACTGTCAGCGGCTCTGAGATCGGACGTGAGTCCCGCTTTGGACTCGGCAATCTCCTTACATGGCCGATGACTCAACGTAAACGTCTCAATATGATTACTGACTCAATAAGCCTTAATCTGTCCGACGGTACGCCGCTGCGACTCCGCGGGCTGCCGCGCGGCGTGTGGGCATGCGGCGCCGCGGGGCCCCCGGGACGCCCGGCATTCTGGCCGGCGCGCCGGGCGGGGGCCCTCGCGCCTCTCATCATCCGACCGTGACTGGCATCATCGGCGGGCCTAGCCCGGAGTCGGAGGCTCCTCACTGTCAGGCTGCCAGTGCGGCGGCCCGGCTGACTCGGACTGAGCCGCTCGCCGTCGGAGATCGGCGGACCGAGGCTCAAGCTGCTTCCCGGCTTGTACGGTCACTGTGATCGGACTCCGGGCTTCAACGACTGAGGCTTCAAGGCTCATCATCATACTTTGAAGCCTGGCACACGGGTCACCCGGTTGCAAGCCTTGAAGCAGCCTACGGCTTGATAGTATTTAAGTTTGATTAAAGAAGCTCCCCGTGGGTTGTTATCAACATCACAATCTGACACTGACAGCGACAAGAGTGAATTCCCTGTTGCCAAACACAAGGGAGAACAGCACCACCCAGCTGTTACGACGATGATCCTTATGTAGTCAGAAGGAGGAAGCAGGGATAGGGTCTCCTCGGAAGATGACTAAGTCATTTAGACTGTTCTGAAGCTGGACATTTGCCATAACCCACAGATGTGTGTGAGAGGAGATGTCTTGTATCTCCATCAAAACAGTAAGCTAACAGAATAATTATGTTCTTTAGATATTTCACAAGGAGATCTCTTCCTCCCAGCTCGAGCTGCCTCATCACCCCTGCTGTGAACATGGGGCCCCTTGTCATTGCTACCCCGCTCGCCTTCCATCCTTCATGGCACCTTGCTCGATCTCCAGCTGTCTGTCTCTGTCTTGATGTTTCTCCTACGCTAGATCCTTCTCTCACATCGCTTACCCGAACGTCTTACAGTAGCGACAGCAAAGATCAGAACCTCGAGTACCTCATCGTACTTGTTCGGTTCCAACTCGTCAAATTTCGGCAGCTTGTTGGGCGTGTCCTGCCAGTTCCACTCGATGTCTTCCAGCTGACCCATCAGAAGGAACTTCCGCCAGATCTCACGAAGCTATGGCAAGCAAGGAAGTGCTTCATCCTCGCGAAACTCCGTGTCCTCGAACAAGCCCTCTTCTCGGTTCCTTGTACAGCGCCGCATGCTCACTGCGTGAATCCCCCGAGCTCGGGTCTGCAGGGCTTGTGCTCGCTCACTCCATCTCTCTGTCGTATGCACATGGAGGCTGTAGCGCTCGAGGACGTTGTCGCCGACTTTGAAGACGTACATTCTCTGATTCAAGCTCTCCTCCCAGCAGTCCTTGTAGGGGAAGTCAACCACGCTTGAGAGGATGACTTGTCTTGCTCTGAAGCTCGATACTGACAGCCTCCAGGAATCTTCAGGTTTTGATTCGGGGGGAGCTCTTAAAGCCTTTTAACAGAAGCTTCTATTGCTGCCATCCTAGCTTCTCCTGCTCCAAGTGTTCCTTGCCGGCTGTCGGGTGTGCGTATATAGGGCTGAAAGGAGAGGAAGAAGCGCTTGTGAGGAGGGGAGAGCGTGCAAGGAGGATAGGAAGAGAAGAGAATGGCGGGAAATCCCGCTCGTTCCCTATTCATCGGGAGCTAACCTGATTGGGAGTTGAGTTACACAGATCTGTGTTACAAAGACTTTTCAAGACCCTTCAAACAGCAGCTGCAAAGTCGTTCCCTGCCGTTTGTCCTGTAGGATGATGGTATCGCACCTCTGCCCTTCCTCGAGCCTCGTCTGCACATGATCGAGGGACTGTCGGGACCAGGGCGGAAGGACAGCTGAGCCCTCGTCTTGTGGCTCGGCATCATCCGACTTGTACAAGGTTTGCATGACGATCTCCGAGGAGCCGAAGTTGACAAGAGAGACAGTGACAACAAAGTCCTCAGTGACCTTGTACCTGCGGAAAGCCTCTCCCACCTCCACTGCCCTCAGTCGCCTGTTTTCCACCTCGTCCTCGTCGCTCTCTTCTACGATCACTTGCAGGACGTAGGGACTTTTCCCGCAAAAGTCATGCAGCTCTTCGAGGGTGAGTTTGGCCCAGTCCTTATCGCTGCTGGACGATGCCGTCTGAACCGATCTCATGCCGCGCGTGGCTACACGAGGTCTGCCTGAAGAGTTGCTCTTGATCATTACGCACTTCTCCTGCTGTGCCTTGTCAAGTTTCTTCTCGTCGAGGATAAACATGCGGAGGATTGAAAAAACGTCGTGCTGCTCCTGCAGAAGGTCGGGTGTGCGTATATAGGGCTGAAACGATCCTCCTCCTCCTCCTCCTCCCTCATGTCTTCTCGTGTCCCAGACTGACTGAACGATCGGCGAGGAGGGAGAGGTGAGCTTTGACATCTTCTCTGCTTGCACCTGTTGGTATGCTTGTTGTGAGAGATGAAAATGAACTAGTTGAACTTCACCTGCTGGTCAGTCTCTATCCCTGCTTCAGCACCTTTTTGGGCATGAATGATCAAATGCATTAAAGATACAAACAGGGGTGGAGGCGAAAGAAAGGAAAAAACAAAAGAGGAACAAGGAGAAAGTGATGATTCAAAAGCACGAAGAGATACCTGCATTGTCGTCATCGTGCTCGCATTTCTCCTCAGTCTGTCTCTCCCCCTTCACCCCGGCTCCAGATTCTCCCTCTGTTTGCAAGCTCGTCTCTCCCTCTGCTTCTTCAAGATGCTCCCAGGGCGTCTTGCTGATCTTCTTCTTCTCATCGACCGATTCAAACTGGTTTGCAAACGACAAGACATCCAGAAACGACAGCAGACCCTGCTCGACCCGATGGTTCACGATCATCACCATCCCTTCCTTGAGCGCTCGAGTGATGGCTCGGTACAGCAGCGATCGATGCAGGTTGAGGTCCGCGTCCCTCTCCTCCTCGTCCAGACCGACTGCGATCACAACCTTGCTCTCCATCCCGTCGAAGTTCTCGACCGTGTCAAAGATGATGCACTGGTCGTCACTCTCGTCCTCCCTGCCTCGAGTCGTCTTCCATGCATCCACCGCGGCAATCAGCTTGAAGCTCGAAGCTAAGGCAGAGTCCTTGTCGAGGTAGTCTTGCAGTAGTTGTTTCAAGTTGAGCTGGACAAGCCTCTCATGGACGAGTATCGCGATCTTCCTGTCCAGGTTCTCCGGGTACTCCACCATCACCTCTCTCATTGCATCCACGATGCGAGGAGCGTACTCGCGTGCTTGGTTGTCACTGGAGCCCAGCGAGAAGATGTACGGCTTGACAGGTCGACCAGCAGCCTTGTGATGGCAAGACACCTCGTCGGCTGAGATCCCTTTCTGAAACAGCAACGACGCTGTCATCGTCCTGTTGCTGTTTCTCACGACTTCAGTCAGGTACACATCGTCAAGCCCTTGAGGATAGGAGATGTTTGTAACAACAGCTTGCGAGCTGTCTGACATCAGCATCATCCTCGCCTTGTCGTACCTCTTCAGCTCGATGTAGTCTCGCGCTTCTCGATCGCAGTACACATGATGCGCCTGGTCGATCACTACAAACTTGTACTTCGACTCATACTCATTCAAGATCTCCACTTGCTTCTCCTGCCTCCTCAGCTCTCCTCCCTCCTCCGTCATCCAGAACGGACCGTCCCATCCTCCCTCCCTGCGGAAGGAGAAGAAGATCCGACCGAACACACCTTCATCCACCAGCTTCCACCTCGCCATCAAGCCCGCCCAGTGCGCGATGAAGAAGACGAAGGCTTCCGAGCGGAGGAGGAAGAGGACGGAGCAGCCCCTGTCCTTCTCCAGCTCTCTCAGCATCATGTGAAGCGCCATGAACGTCTTCCCCGTCCCTGCTGGACCTCGCAGGTGGACTCCTCGCCTCCTCTCTATCGCCTCCTCGCACAGCTTGGCCTTCTCCTTCTGATGAGCGGTCAGCATGCTCCTCCCGTCTTCCTCCAGCAGCCCCCCGGCTCTCCTCGCAGGCCCCATGAAGAGCAGCAGGCGACCGGGAAGACGAGAAAGCACGCGGAGGTTCGACCGGATCTCGCGCAGACGCTGAGACGAGATCTTCTGGAGTGCGAAGGGCTCGGAGGAGCTGGAGGCAAGCAAGGAGAAGCCTTGGAACAGAGAGGGTAGGCTCGACACGGGCTTGCCCTCCCTCGTCATCTCCGCCGTCTTCTCTCGCTTGTACGTCTCGAGGTACTCGAACAAGATGAGCGAAGCAATCTTCTCCATTCTCATGTAGCAGACATAGCTTCCAGTCTCGATCACGTTGGTGATGATCTCGATCGCCTCGGCTTGGGACCATAGAAACTTGTTCATTCTCGCCAAGATCTTCCCCACGTCTTCCTTGTTTACATCCCAATCTTTCATCACACGCCGATGCCACGCTCGTCTGCAAGACTCTTTGTCTGGAAGACAAGCACTGACAAGCTCGTCCGTCAAGAAGACCACTGACGCAAACCTCTTCTTGCAGCCCAAATCCGCTAGCCTTTCTCTATTCCAGTACCTGTATTCCACATCTCCGTGCTCAAGTATCGTACCCAGCGTTTGCAGCAGCTTGTCTTGCGATGCAGACTGAGCGATGCAGCTATCCCACTTCTCCCTCCATTCCTCCCCCATTCTTGCGTCCTTCATCACCTTCAGCCACAGCAGCATGCACATCGTCCATTGCCCGCCACCTCCCCCACTCCCCCCCTCAGTCTCCATGACCTGCCTGCTGTCGTTGATGGTGATCTGAGGACTCCCTGAGAACCTGCCGAAGCCTTGCAGGAAACATGTCATGTGGATCTCGAAGTCTTCTTTGTTGCCTTCGTTCCTCGCGATGACTAGCTCGCTCTGGCATGCTTCGTCCTCAGAGTCGCTTCTATCACTCACATCCGATTCAGATATCGTGTCCGCTTCAGACAGATCGCTAGGAGAGCAAAGCTGTGCCGTGCGATCTGACAGCTCCCGCACTTTCTCCCTGACCACTCTCCAGAATTTCTTTTGCTGATGAGGGAGCAGTCGTGTCTCCGTCAGCACGTGAAGCGACTCTTCCGTCAGATCTTGGAGATCTTCTAGCTTCCAGTCTTCGATGTAGAGCTCTTCGCAGAGTCGTCGAGCAATCTTGGTAAACCCCTGCTCCTTGAAGAACCGCACCATCTCCGTATCTTCCGCTTTCTCTCTCCTAAGACAGAAAGCTGAAGCATCCCGACGACCATACAGCCTGTACCCCGATGAGCATCCTTCCGCCTGTTTCCAGGAGTTCAGCAAGGATTGTCCTTGGAAGAGTTTGCCATACAATGTTTGTGCAAAGCTGATGGCAAACTGGTCAATTAGGTCTCCTTTGTGTCCAATGGCAAAGTCGACGACCTTCGCCAGCTTTCTCGCATGCTCGTCCGAGTAGCATGCGTTGAGCACCACAAGCTGCACCTCAGCTGCTCCTGACCTCCTCGCCTCCTCGTTGTGAGCTTGCAGAGCGTTCATGATGGTTTCAGGCACGATATTCTGTCGGAAGAGCTTGATCGCTTCTGGATCTGAGTGACAGCTGAAGTGAAGAATCAGAGGCTGGCGCTTGATTTCCTTCATAACATCTCCCCATGTCGAGGAGTAAGTCCTTGACAGGTTGTTGGCATCCGTAGCGCTCAGAATGTCATGGATGGAGTTGTACTCATCTTTGAGGTTCAAGCCGGGATCGTTTGGCCCGGCATGGACGTCTACGGGTACGAAGAGGAGCCGGTGGGGGTAGGGAGGAGTGTCAGGCTTGGGGTAGTCGGGCCAGTGGACCTCGTCGTCTCTCCCTCCTCCATCTTTGCCCTTGGGTACCTCGGATATGGCAGCATTTGTCTCGATCTTACACTCAGGTGGGAAATACAATTCCAACTCCTGAATCGTCTCCCGACTCCCGCGAATCCTCTTGTTCGTTTGAGACATGGATTGGGCCTCTAGGATTGGCACATTCCTAAAAATATTGTCTTGTGCCAACGCGAGAAGTTTTCTGATCCGCTCATAGATTAGCTTGGATTTAGGTTTATAGGCATCAGCTCTTGGAATTTGAGATGGATTTGACCATTTCCACTTGATATCGTCTTGGACACGAAGACCTTCATTGAAATAGTATGACTTCCAGCTTTGTTTGAGTTGTTCGTTGTAAGGAACAAGAGTCTCACCAGACTTCATTTGCCGCCATCCTCCTGTAGACTTCTCGAACAATGCAAGCCGCATGTTCACCGAAGTGAGCTCAGCTGCTCGTTCTTTAGCCGGAATTGGTAGTCTTTGAGACCATCTCATGAAGGTGTGTCCATGTAAGACAAATCGCTTGTCCAAATCCCCATTGATCTTGAAAAACCATGCTCTTTCGAGTAATCCATCATCCAACCTCAAACCATTTTTTCCTGACATGTCTCGAAATGGAAAATCGACGACAACAGTAGCTGAAATGTTGGTTTTATGCTGATCAGAATCAATGAGGTCACAAATTTCCTCCCATCTGGCATCTATTTCTTTCTTGTCAATATGCGTTGAGCCGCGACGGTGAAGATGATTGGCGTCATCTTCGTCTTCTGAATCGACGCCTCCATCAACGAACAGCAAGGAAATCTCATCCTGAAATCGATCCAGGGACATAGCGGCTGGCTACGAATGATGCCTCCTCGCACTCCCAGCACTGAGATAAACAAAGCAAGAGAACAAGCGATATCCTGTACTAGTGTAGCTGGGAAAGGGGAAACAGTACCCCCACAGCAGGGAGAATGAGGAGGAGGTATGTTCGTTAGCCAGCGGGCACAATCTTCTATCTCCGTCAGGAGGAGGGAAAGGAGGACATGGATAGATGGAGGGAGAGGAGGACAAGGAGGAAGGAGGAAAGAGAAACAGGAGGTACAAGGTGGAAGGAGCAGGAGCAGGAGAAGGTGCAGCAGGAGGCCTGATTTTCAGTCAGCGAGCATCTCCAGCTCTAGACTAGCTGAGAAGAAGAGCAGGGCAGCTGAAGTCACAGTGTGGCAGCTGAAGTCACAGTGTACATGTCTGACGGATCTTCTCCTGCTGACATGCCTGTAGGGGCCTGAGGAAGAGGAGGTAGGAGGAGGAGAGGACTCTTCGCCATTCCCAGCAGGTCAGTGCTGAATCTTGTTGTTGAATACTCACCTTAAAATTTCAATGATCAATTTGTTATTTGAAGTCATTTTGGTCTTACGTAAGTTTCAAATCACAAAAGCGACATTTCAATATTTACTGGTTCATTTCAAATATCTTTTTGAATCGAAGCCTCGCCGCCGGGACGAGTCCCGGGCCGGCCCGGGGCCCGGCGTCCGATCCGCTGGAGTGACTCTGAGCAGTGCCACTGAGTACTGGCCCGGGGCAGCCGTATTAGGCTGCTATGTCCGACCCCGCCGCCGCGACCGTGAGTCCGATCCGGGACTCCGGGACGGCCGCGCCCCCGGCGGCGCCGGCCGCCGTCACGGCCGGGCCCGCGCCGCCGCCAGTGCTGCCAGCCCGGCGCTCCGGTGGGCCCCCGTTCGCTATGGAAGGTTACGACGGTTACAAAGCATTCCTGGAGGACGAAGATGGCGGAGTCAAGCGCGTGGAGCGAGGTGGGGACGAGGAGCCGACAGTGGTGAGGAGCGATGCGACCATGAGGAGCGAAGCAAGCCTGAAGCATCTGTGAGCCTCCTCTCGACACCCTAAGAGGACAGCCATGGCTCTCCAGAGATGATGCCGTGCTAAGCGTTCTGCGCTCGAGTGTGATACCACGCGATCCCACGAGCGAGGAACGTGGTGAGGGAGATGGTCTTCGATACAGAATGCATGCTGACTGACCCCGTGTCTATGACTGAGCGATATGAGAGACAGAGGGAGGAGTCTAGAAGGCAGCGCCACGTGCATATCGACAAGAGGTTCGACAAGCTTGAAGAGAAGGAAACTGTAGGGGCCGCCTGCAGGGTGTGCGAAGCTGCCATTCACGTCAGCGAGAGGGAAGCGATGACAGCCCTTGACGAGAACGGAGGGGACGAGGCGAAAGCGATCGAAGACCTGATGGATTACGAATACTTGCAGCGGATCAGGAAGAAAGTCTGTGAGGGGGCCAAGGTAGAAACGGGCAAGCCGATCTCGCCCAAGGATCGAAAGCTCAACGGCAGGGCTTCAAGGAAAGCATCTGACAAGTGCGTACCTCAACGTGAATGTCCTCCTCTCCCTCCACTGGATGCGGTGGATACCACAGGATGGAGCGCAGAGCGGTTGACTGCGTACGGGAGGGTACAGGAGCTGCCCAACCTCTACTTGTACTCGTATCCTGCTCCTGGCAAGACTCAGCGACACGGAGCATGGTCTCCTCAAGAGCATGAGCGCTTCATGATGCAGTCAGAAGCCTTCGGGGGTTGGGATAAACTCAACAGCCCGCAAACACAGTGGGGTATCTTTGCCTTGGGGGTGGAGAGCAGGGTTGGGTATCAGTGCAGCAACTATTACATCTACTTGAACAAGCGAAGGGGAGAGAGGAAGCGACGCGATACAGCATGATCACCTTGTAATTGTGATGTACGTGTGTGCAACCAGCCAGGGGTGAACCCGTCACCAAAAGTTCAAGATCTTTCAGTTTATAAATAAAGATAAAATAACGCTTCCAAGAAAATTTCAATCTACAACAGAGCTTTCCTCTAATCAGTGCATCCTGCCCCTCTCCTCCGTTCTGTCTCTCGCCCCCGATCCTCAGAAGACATCAACGTCATCCCAGCCTCCCGCGTTCTCATGGCAAGTGTTCATCGGAGTGGAGATGCCCCGTGACGGCGTGCAGGCGAAGTTCTTTGACGGAGTTCCGATGGCGCGAGCAGGGGTGGGCGGCATGCCGGAGAGGCTCTGGCGGTGGTCGATGGAAGACATCCTCAGGTCCAGCGAGAAGACTTTCTGCTCCAGAGTCTCAAGCCGCTCCCTTGCCTGCTCGCTGAACCCGGATACCATCTCGATCAGCTGGGTCTGCTGCTGGGTGATGCGATCGAAGTGCACCAGCAACTGGTCCCATGCCTCCTTGGACGGGACGTACCCCTGCGCTGGCGCCGCGCTTCCCCACGTCGCGCTCAGCACGTTGGCAGGCTTGGCACGCGTGTTCTGCTCCATGCTCATGTCGGGCTTGCTGAGCTCGGCCTTGATGGAAGAAGCCTGAATGCTCTGGAGAGGGGTCCTGCTGGAGCGGCTCAGAGACAAGTCTTCCATGCTGGCCTGAGGGAAGGGATCCTGATTCTCCAGATCGTCTGCCTCGGCTACATCCCAATCGTCATCCTTCTTGCTCCCTCCTCCATCTCTGGACAGGCCCTCGATCTTGGAGATTTGCTGCAGAGCCTGGGCGGCGACTTCTCGAACTGGCGGCTGCCTGTCGTACCTGCACTTGTCGAGGAGCTCAAAGATGCTGTTCTTGTAGTCCATGATCTGTGCTGGCTCGTACCTCGTGAACATGGCTTCCAGCGTCTCGATCGCAGATTTCCTCGTGTTCCAGTCCTGCGAGCTGCAGGAGGCTCGAATCCTTGCGAAGTACAGGGGCATGAACGGGAGGAGGCCGTCGGGGCAGACCTCGATCAGGTTGGCGATGGCGATCAGCAGCTGCGGCTTGCCTTGGAACTGGTTGTTGTCCATCAGAGCTAGGATCCTCTTCGACAGCTTCTCGAGGTGGGGGTGAAGCTGGCTCCCGCAGTTGAAGATGACGTGGGCAAAGGCAAGCGAACAGCCCTGCTGGGCGTTGGGGTCGGCAGACTCGAGCGACTGGAGGATGGGGCGGAAGAAGAGCCCGAGGGTGGGAGCGTCGTTCATGGTGGAGCTGTCCATGTCCATGGTCTCCTCCAGCTTCCTCTCGAACGGTTCGCTGGAATTGAGCAGCCGGGAGAGTTCGCCGACGGTTTCAGCACAAGCTTCCCGCACGTTTGCATCCGTGTCCCTCATCTTCTTGCACAGGAAGGAGACGATTCTGCCGAGGCTTCCCTGGATCATGTTGAAGTGAAGCTTGGCGACCGTGGCAAAGAGGCGAGCTCCTTGAGCACGAGCCCAGGCACTCTTGCCGCCGTCAAACTCGAAGAGGAGCGACAGGATGGAGCTCACGAACTCAGGCTTGAGATCGTCACAGATCTTGTGGAACTCAGCAAGACCGTTGCTCTGTGTGTCTCTATCCACCAGCTTCGACAGAGCCTTCCCTGCTTTGAGCTTCAACTCCTGCTTCATGGATTCCAGCATCGCCTTTTTCTTGGCGTCCCCTGCCGCTCTTCCTCGTGGTGTGACACCCTCTGTCATGTCAAACTCCATCTTCCAATTTCCTTTTTCCGACATCTCGGAATATCGACGTGCGGCCAGATGTCCTGCATATTTCATCATGAGAAACACTGACAAATTTCTGTTCGAAAAACCAAATACATGCCTGACACTTCCTGTCTTGTCAACCTTCATGATCTTTGCTAGAGCATACACATCACTACTCTAACATCTTCTGATCTTGATGTTTCTTGATTGAATATCCACTTTTCGCTTCAACATTTCTCCTCCTGCAGCTTTCACTTACCATCGCAGATCCCCTTGCTATATGTACGTCGTCCTATCACTGCTCTCCTTCTTGGTCTTTGGACTCTGCTACACTCTCCTTCACTTCTCCTCTCATTCTCTCTAGTCCTCGCTCTTCTTGGTTGTCTGATCTCCTCTGGACTTCCCTCTCTTCTCCTCTCCCGGCTCTCCTTGTGTTCCCCCCCTCAAGCATTTTCAAGTTTTTGAAATCCTTCCGTTTGAAATTCGCTGGTACCCCGTTACTGGTCTCACCCCCACCCCCCACATGACTTAAGGACCCCGTAATATAAAATGAAGCACCCGTATGAAGAAGCACCCGTATGTCGTATGAAGTACCCTACCCCGTATAAACCCTAGCTTGTGGATTGATACCGCCATGATGAGCAGCAGCAGCAGCAGCAGCAAGAGAAGGAGAATGTCCGGCAGGGATGATGATGAAGATGCAAGTGGAGATGAAGTGGTGGTAGAAGTAATGTTTTGATTAGATTGATAAGCAGCGATTTGAAGTATCCAAAGCGTTTGTCATGGATAGAGATAATGATGAACTGTGTGTCAAGGAGGATAACAATATGATGATATTGCAAGGTTGAGGATGAAAGGAGGTATGGAACTCAAGATGTGCTGTATTCAGCGATTCACAGTGCTATGAGTCTAATGTAGCCTGAAAAATTATCTCGATTAACGCAATTTAGCTGCAACAAGATGGAAGCAATTCGGCATATGCCCTTGTAAGATACATCAATACCTGCGACCGTGATCAAACTTGACGATGGAATTTGTGAGAATGAGTAACACAGGTTTGACCCGAGCAAGTCAGTGTCATGATTTGCAGGTTGTACAGTAAAGAGAGAGTTGAGAACATGAAAGAAGTTTGGTTGTTTCTTTTCATTTCCTCCTCAACTTGTGGAAATGCCCTTTGTGCCTCTTCCTCTCTGCCTCCTTGTTGACCCTGCGGCTCTCCATCCTCAATCGATCTTCAAGTCTTCGCTGTTTCGTTATCTTGTAGAGCTGTTCAGCAGTTGACATGTCAGAAATGAAATGCATCGAAAGATCATCGTGTTCATCGCTTCACGACATCTCAACCCTGCCGACTTACCGCGGTGTTTCGCCTTGTCTTGTCAACGTTTCTCCGTGATCGCTTGATCGTCTTGGGCTTCTTCTCATCATGTCAAGTCAACATGTACCCATCCTCCTCTCTCACTCTCACCTTGTTGTTCCGCCCTGTCCGACAATTTTCCATCCTCTCCGCCTTCGTCTGTTTCCTACGAGACGCTGCCAGGAGAGCATCTCCAGAGAGCCTGTGTTCGTTATCAGCCATTCAGCTTTCCTTCCCCTCCCTCTCCGCTCCTTCCTCCTCCATCTTCTCCTTCTTCTCCTCCTCCTTCTTCTCCTCGTCCTCTATCTTCTCCTCCTCCATCTTCTCGTCCTCCATGGTACCTCGTGTTGAAATCATCGTCCTGCTCTCCTCGGGCTGTTCTGATCTTTTCGAAGTCCTGAGAGATCAGCTTGAGGGGAAGAAACAAAGAGCAGGGAGGGGAGGAAACCAAGAGTTGTGGGGAGAAGGAGCTTCGAAGAGCGGCGAGGGCAAGCGAGAGGAAGTGGAAGCTACCTCAGGCGTGAGGATTCTTCGAGCTTCGATCTTCTTGTTCTTCATCTTCACAGAGTTAACTGCAACCTTGTCACTTTGAGATGAACATCACATGCATACAAAGATGATCATCCGAGGGATCCGCCAGCACACAATCTCAACAGCACCAGCACCACAACTTTCTCTACCCCCTCCCCCCTCCTCCTCCTCTTCCACGTCTCCCTTCCCCTCCTGCTCTGTAATATTAATCATCATTTCACCTTTGGGTTCGCGTTCCTCGTTCTCTCCCTCGTCCTCGTCATCTTCCTCGTCTTCCTCGTCCTCCCCCGAGCTTTCCTCCAAGTAATCTCCATCCCCCTCTTCTGGTTCATCAGAGTCCACGACGATCTCGGAGCTCTTGTCGCTGGAGATGAGCTCTTCAGCAGCATCGCAATCCATCACGTTGAACAACGACGACACTGCCCCGTCAGTCTGAACACCCTCGACCGATCCCTTGCCCTGTCCTCCTCTACCCTTTCGATTTTCGTCTCCTCTTCCTTTCTCTTCCTTTTCTTTTCCTCTTCCTCCTCCTCTTCACTTGTTCCTCCCATGTACACAAGACTGTGCGCCCTCGAACCGATTGGATATCCCCTCGAAACCCCCTCTGCTTTCCCATCTCAGTTGTCAGACTTGACTCTTCAATGTGCAAACCTGAAAATCGTACATCGCAAGTTTTCCTGCTTGGATCGAGCCTGGTGATTTCCTGTAAAGAGAGTCAGTCTTGGGTCTCTGAACTCGCAGCTTTTCAAGTAATTACTCCAATTCTGTCTTCTCCCTCTTCCCAAACCTCTCGCACTTTCATCCCGACCTTTGCAAACAAGAAGACATTCTGCGGTGGAGTAAGCGAAATCGCAAGCCTTTGGATGATATCTCACATCATTGTTGGAGGAGGACATGTTGAGCTTGCGATCTAGAGTGACAAGAGCTTTTGAGTAGAATCTCGACTCTTTGATACGCTTCAATCGTTCGCTCCTGACGTGTTCCAACGAAACGTTGACGTGCTTTTTCCCAAAAGCTTTCTCCAAGAGATTCTTCGTGAAAGATGCAACAGTGAAAGTGAAGTTCGAAGGTGATGCTGGAAAGAGGAAGTAAGATGAAGAGGATTAGCGGTGATGAACGATACGTGTCGACGATGTCGGTGTTGAATTCGATGTCTTCCGAAGAAACAGATCTCTGAACGTGCCGACTGTTTGCCCTGCATTGTCACGGTCATCTAATGACCACATTCTACGGCAATCCTTACTCATCCTTTGTCGACCAAACAGGTTCCGCAAACTCGCAAACTGCTGATGCGTAAACCTTCAATCGCAAGATTCATCTCAACAGACTGATTGGTTGGCTGGCTTGTAGATGATTGATCTTTGATCATCCTACCAGTAATTCAGCATTTTCCTGCCTCCTTCATAACGCAACCAACCCTGTTGATATTCATTTCATTGCGAGCTGACGCGACGTCCAAGTGAGAAATTTTTCTGACTTTCTGATTGCAAGAAATTAGGCGCATTATCATTCAAGAAGTTGACAGACAGCATTCGACGGAGCTTCCGCGCTCCTCTTGGATCTCCCGAGTTGTTGTCCCCTCCTCTCTCTCCTCCTCCTCCTCCTCCTCCTCCTCCTCCTGAGAGAACTGCGAGCTCATTTCCAGGTCTTTCACTGGCTCCTCCTTCTTCTCCACCCTTGCTTCTCTCCCCCGCCTCCCCTTCCCTTCCCCCCCCCCATCATTCTCTCCATTCCCTCCCTCTTCGTCCTCGTCCTCGAGAATTTCAATCCCGTCGATCCTTGTCTGCCCTCGAACTTCGCCATATTTCGGAGGGCCTTTCTTGTTGAACGACTTTCCTCTGCCACGGTCTTGTTACCGTCACAGCATCGGCAAAGCAATCAACTCAAATACATCAACAGGAGCGACAGCAAATGCAACAAGGAAGAAGGAAAGAAATCAGCACGGAAAGGTATCGAATCTCCACCTGTCCTTCTTGCGCAGCAGACCTGGATTCACCTCCCGAAAGAGCTTCAGAATGCTCCGAGCTGCGTTCACAACCGACTTCTCTCTGTCAAAGCCGTCAGTCAGCCTCTTCTTCTGCCTCCTCCTCCTCCTCCTCCTCCTCCTCCTCCTCCTCCTCCTCCTCCTCCTCCGTGTCTTCCTCCTTCTCTTCCTCATCCTACTTCTCTTTGTTGTAATCAACCAAGTCCGCCAGCAAGTCCGAATCCATCCCCAGAGGTTGTCGCTTGCAAATCTCACTGATCATGATAAAGTTAGCTCATTTCACAAGAAGTGTCCACTCTATCATTTAACGTTTGACGACTTTCGTATTTCAAAATACTAAAACTCTTTCCACCAAACTTTCTAGCATTGAAAGGAGGATCATTTCTATGCTGTCTGATAGATGAAATGACTATAAGGTATAATATCCTTGAATTAACAATCATGTTCTGTCCATACTTGCAGGGAATGCCCTATGTCCCCTTATTCTCTTACCGAATCGCATTAAGTCCTATCGCAATCGAAGTCATCTGTTTAAGCAATCAGTGCTGCGAAGAATCGTCTTTATTCACCTTCGATTGATCATGAATAAAATTCGACGCAATCGTCTTCAGGAGGGTAGAAATCGTCTCGGGCGGGGTAAGGCTCTGCCTTTCATGTCAGATTCGGCAGACATGAATGTAAACACCAAGAATTCACTGTTGACATCAGATCTGTGGCCAATACCAGAATGATGTCAACGGTGTACTCTGACGTCAACAGTGGCCAATAAAACAAGAGACATCTACACAGTCAAAGCAGCTTTCCACCAGGAGCTTCTACCAGGAGCTCTTTTACCGCTGCTCTAGCCTATCTCTGTACTGCCTCTTTCACCTTAACTCACCGTGACGCTCTGAGCGATGATTGCCAGCACTTTATGCAGCTCCTCTTGGCTGGGTTGGAGGAAGCGAGACATGAAGTCGTAGAAGTCAAGGAGGATGAGCTGGTGCACTGACATAATCCGCGAGAGCAGATCCAATATCAACAACTTCTCATCGAACCTGACCATCGAACAAGACAAAGAGAGAGTGAGGGGGGCCGAAAGAACTTCATCATCATCACTTGAGAGCGGTCTTCCAAGTCTTTATCATCTGCAGGAGTTTCTCCGCAAACGACTGAAGAAAGCTGTCAGAGGGCAGCGAGCATGACCAGCGAGGTTCAACGAAAGGGAAGTGATGGAGAGCTAAAGATGCAAGTGGTGATGGTGGAGATTGCCGACGAGATCTGTACCTGTGGGTCGTGCAGCTGCTCGATGACTGTGAAGCCGTTGTTGATCTTCTTCTTTTTGCTGTATCACCGTCATGTCAATGCTGAGTCGCCTCTCTTGGTCTCACCGCCTTCCTTCTCTCATGATTCGCATGTCTTCTTTGTGCTGTTCCGAGAAGGCTCTTTCCACCACTGGTGTGAGTTGACGAAAAGCGATCAATGCCGCATCTCACTTCCTCAGTTTCTTCTTCTTCCTCTTGCTCGCGAGCAGCAGGTGCGTCGGTTTGATCCGCTTGCGCTTCTCTTTCTCGTCAGGGATGTGTATTCCAAAGTCATCTGCAACAACCTCTTCACCGGCTGGAAACAACCAGCCTCCCAGCTCCTTCCTCCTTTCTCACCAAAGTCATCTTCTTCCGGGTTGTAAACGTCAGAGTTGAGGAGGAAATGAATCGCTGCGGACCTCACAGATTTCTGCCTGCTGAAGCAAGCGGCTCCTATCATATTGATCGCATACGCATCGTTCCACATCCCCCTCTGATGCAGCTCGACCATCATCTTGATCGCAATCCTCCCTCCGCGAACATCCGTGCCATGGAGCAGGGGAAGCAGCAGCCTCTGCAGGTTCCTGTTGATCTCCTGGTTCACCTTGACGGCGTTCAGTCTCTTGATGGCGTTGAGACTGTTGGCGTACAGGAAGGTTCGAACTTTCTTGTCCGGCACGTAGAACATCCTGAAGAACACTCGGCACATCTCCACCACCGAGATCGCCTTCTGCGCTCCCGAGATGGTAGCCGCCTGCAGGAATTGGATCCGAAGCTGAGAGTTCATGCTCGTGTGGTTGCGGTCGATGATGGTGAGAAGTTGGATGGGGAAGTCCCCCAGCAGCTCGTGGTACTTTGGCGTGCAATGAGCCAGAAAAATTGTTAGCTCCCCCAGCTCCTGATGTCTCTCCCCCGTCGCCTCCTCCCACGCGGCCAAGAAACCATTCCATTTCTTCATCAGGGAGGTCACTTCAGGCAGATACCCCTCAGGATCTTTCTTGAGATGGTGGTGGAGGATCTGAAGCCGCTGTCCCAATGCTGTCGACTTTCCTCCTCGCAGCCGGAGCAAGCACGTGTTCTCCTTCACGGGATAATCTCTCAGTGTGCACGTGGGCACACAACATGCCACCAGCACGAGCGCGAGAGGAGAGATGCTGCCGATCAGGGACATCTGCATCGTGAGGTTGGAGCTTCGCGCTAGTGCCCTCGGAGACAGCTGCGAGTCCCAACGCCAAGATACCGACGGAGAGAATGTTGCATGGTCCTTTCCAACATTTTCACCTAGCAGACAGTCATACGCACCCGTGCGTTTCTCAACGTCATATTCGTCCTCAGCTTCTTCTTTGCCTGGTACTTCTGATCTAACGCTCTGGAAACTCATCGTTCTTGGCTTCATGATGAAAAACAGCTATATTTGAGACACCTGCTTCCGCATTCTCCCCTAATTCACAACCGAGAAGGGTTTTAGAGTTTAGGGTTCTAACTCCCCCCTGATGTCTTCCTTCTTCCTTCTTCCTTCTTCTCCCTCCTCATGTCTTCCTTCTTTCTTCTTCTCCTTCTCCCTTCCTCATCTCTACCTGCTCCAGTCATCCCCATCACCATCTCACCGGAATCATTTCCGAGCGTGCGGTCGCATTGATCCCCGGTTTTGATCGATTGAAACCATAAGGAAGACTTTATTCGATTACATTCCTTGAGAGGGACTCCGGGGCGGCCGGGCACTGCGGCAGGGGGGGCGCCGGCCGGCCCGGGCCACTCAGTGATCACTCTGATTGCCATTATGCCCCAGCACCGCCGCCAAGTCCCTCTGCCAGTCTTTTACTCAAAGTTAAGTTAGAAAATCAGTACGAGGACAATCAGGAGAGTACGGTCGAGGAGGCTTGACCCTGAGTCCTGAGTCACTGTCGCACAATGGGCCACACGGCACCGTTGAAACTTGAAACCCAAGCCTGCCAACCGTGCTGTTCCCCAAACTTAACTGATACCTTCACAGGCTTAACCGGGCAGTGCACGCAGGACCATTCCCTCACTGTACTACGGTAAACGAGTATCAGACCATCCGCACTGTGACACCGGGCCCGGCCGCTTCGGTGTGCCCCGGCGGCCCGCCGGGTGAAATGAAACAGTATTACTGAAAGTTATTCGGCACGGTTCGGAGAGGTCGGAGATCGGGTCTATGAAAGGTCAGCTTCTGATATGTCCTATGACCATCCTAAGAATTTACTATGACCATGATTGTATCATGTAGGCACCCCAAATGTGTACCCTCTAAGACCTCCTATGAGGATAGATACCAGCTTTCGCTGTAGAGGAGGGCCTAGGAATAGCCTAGGCGGTAGGATCTCCTAGGACGCAATAGCGCCCTATCCTCTGCGATGCCGTCTAAGAACCACTCGAAGAAGAAGTCAGACAACAAGCATGCCGACGAGCATGCCAAGGAGACGCCGACACCGGCTGCTCCTCAGAAGAGCAGCGAAGAGAGCTTCCATCTGGACGACGAGAAGATCCGCCAGGTCTTCAAGAAGTACGACAAAGACGGCAGCGGCTACCTGGAGTTCGACGAAGTCATGATCCTCGCAACCGATCTCTACGCCAAGTTCAACCCTGATGCTCCTCCGTGAGGCCATCTTGTCTGACCTTGCTGCACGCACTCACTTGCCTGTTGTAGCGTCACTGGGGACCAGCGTGAGGTCGTTGCTAAGAAACTGATGGAGAGGATTGACCAGAAGCACGGGAACGACGATGGGCGCCTCTCCTTTGATGAGTTCGTTCCTTGGTGAGGAAGGATCGTTGTCTTGCCTCGATCGCCTTCCATGACATGTGGATGGTGAAAAATAGGTATGCAACTGCGGCGGAGAAGTACTGGAAGATGACCCATACTTCCCCCAACGATACCCCGGCACCTAAGCCCAAGGCAGAGCCTGCAGCAGAGCCGCCAAAGGAGCGTGTGAAACTTGGGGCAGCCGCAGCCCCAACCTTGCCTGTGCCTCCACCAGCTGATACAAGCTCGCCCTCCGTCGCCGTCTCGTCTTCTTCAGCTTCGAGAAGCACCACCGGACCAGCAAACGGCTTCAACGCCAACTCCAAGCAGCCCACGGGAGATACCGTCAAGATGGAAGATGGAAGCACTTGGGTCACTTCCCTTGAGCAGGTGATGTTGAATCTTGCGTTCAAGAGATTGATCTTAGTTGTCCAGGCTGTTCAGGTCCTGTCAGAGGGAAAGACAAAGATTCTTGTCGCAAGAAGGATTGGGCTCAAGGATGCTGGCGCGAAAACGCTGGCTGATGCACTGAAGAAGAACAAGGGTTTGGAAGAGATCTACCTGTGCCAGAATGACATTGGTCCTGCCGGAGCTAAGGTATGATAGCTGTTCTCCTTCTTTGCGAATTCTTCAATTTCACCCCTGCTACATCGTCCTCTATGTGCTGTCTATGGCATTCGTGGACTTGTGTTCGTTTTGGACAATCTTCTTTACTGAGCGCAAGGTGCGCAACTGAAGTCCATTCCCTCAGGCTCTTGGCGAGGCCATCGGAGCGCACGGTTCTTTGAAGGAGGTCTACCTCGGGTACAACCAGATCTTGGATGAAGGTGCTCAGGGCCTGGCAGAAGCCGTGGCGTCGTGCAAGACCCTCAAGGTGATTGACATCGACTACAACGGGATCACCGGCGACATCCCACAGAAGGTCGCAGCCATCAACGCCTGCTGTGACTACTTCAACGGTGGAGAGAAGGCCAAAATCGTCACCTCGCTCAGCAAGATCATGTGCTGAGTAGGACCGCTGGCTTGAGTGATGCCAGGATGCAGTAGACGAGAGCTTAGTCTTTTATTGAATGAAGCTAGCGACAAATGAGCGAGCAGATGATAGATTTCTCTATCGTGGAACGATCAACAAGGATGCTCACACGCTGAATCAAACTCTTATCATCCGTAGATCAACCGGAAAACATCGTTGAAGCAATAGTATCCTTGACCCCCTGGCAAGGGAGCGAGTGTGAACACCTGTCACGTTAGACTCAGCACAAGTTTCTTTCATCTCTCAAGGAAGCAGGCTCACCTGGCTGAACTTCATTGGGTGCTCGGAACCATCCACCTTGAGATGGCCACAGACGAAGACTAGTATGCCTCCTCCGTTGGTTGGTTGATAGTCTGATGTGACGATCTCATGCTCCACAGTCTGGAACTGAAGACCGTTGAGCTTCTGAGAGATAGCTTCCACGCCCTGAAACTTTTCACCCTCGAATGTCAGCATAGAGTTGTCTTGGTAGAGACTTCGTATGCTTGCTCGGTTGGTATCAAACATCTTGTAGTAATGACCAACGAAAGCAGCCCCTACCTCCTGCATGGCTATCGTCACAAGAAGCAAGGATGAGTTTGTTCAGGACATTCCGACTCGTCCTCACATACCTCGAAGTTCGGGTTAAGGGAAGATCCGCCCCGCAAGCGCTGCAATGTTGGAGGGGCTTTTACATGCTCGTTCCATGGCCTTGGCGAGCTCAGCCGGAGCGAAGAGGCCGGTGCATAGCGTACTGACTCAGAGAGGGGGAGGAGGAGGAGGAGGGCGAGCACAAGGAGGCGATGGGGAGGCGAAGAGCGCGCGAGGAATAGAAACGCCATGTAGAACCCGCGGAAAGTAGGGAAGGGAAACGGCAAAGGGCTGGGAGGAGAGGTAGAGCAATTTCAATTAGAGTCCCAATTAATAAATGGGTGATGTATAGGGGTGAACGATCAGAGAAGGAGTGGGTCAGTGAGGAGATGAGGGTTATGGAACAGAGAACAAACGGGGAGTGACAAGGGAAAAATGGATTTCAGTAGAGAGCAGGGGGGAAGAGAGGAGGGAGAGGCGATGACAGAGGAAGGAGAGGAGAGAGAGAAGAGAGAGAAGAGAGAAGAGAGAAGAGAGAAGAGAGAGAAGAGAGAGAAGAGAGAAGAGAGAGAGAGAAGAGAGAAGAGAGAAGAGAGAGAGAGAGAGAAGAGAGAGAGGGGAGAATGATGAGGGAGGAGATCAGGTAACCTACGTAAGACACTGAAGCAAAGAGCCTTGAGGCGAAGGGTGTGAAGGCATGAAGATCTACTGCATTCTCCTCGATGCACTGCCATGGTCGAGCGGAGGAGAAGGAGCGCGGCATGCACGGGACAATACCGCGGGCGAGAGTTTGGCTGAGATCGCCAGGGCCAGGAGCCTTCGCCATGTCCACCAGGTGTCTACCGGGATGTTCACGACCACCACGTAAGATCGGAGTGCTCGACGCTCCTGACTCACTCCCGTGCTGCGCAGCTTGCTGTCGATGCTCACCGGCACGCTGCCATCCGACGTGGTGCCTGGAGGAGTCGGATACCTTGCGCACCACGAGGACAGATACTACGAATGGATGAAGGTGACGGGAATGGTTCCAGCCATGGCGTCTCATGCGACTCTTGCATGCAGGATCGCAAGATCCATCTCTTCCAGCACCTAATGGCGGCAGGATTCAAGATCAAGCTGCACAACCACCTTGACTTCATCCTCCGCATGCTCCTGGGGTATCGCTCCGACGACCCGCTGACCGAGTTCAGGACCGATAGCTCGGGGGAATGGTGGAACATTGAGCTGAGCAGCACGAACGTGAGGGAGGGCAGCTTCGATGCGAGCATGCAAACGTTCGAGGAGTTTGATGACGAGGAGCTGTGCGGGAGGTACTATGAGCTGGAGGAAGCATACATCCGCCAGCTGCAATCAAAGAGCTCCGAAACCAACACCTTCTTCTTCACGCAGCAGCAAGACTGGCATGACTCATGGTACACCAAGAGACTCTCTGCGATGAGGAGGTCGAGGAGGAGAACCTTGGAATGGCTGAAACTGTGGAACTTCGACGAACCGGATGCTGTCTTCTGGATCTTCAGCGATCATGGCTATCAGGTGAGACATGAGTTGCTGGTATGTGGAGCTCCACTACCACTAGCTAGGGGGAGGTAGACTTGACTAGAGTTGTCTTGCAAGCTTCAAACACCGTATATCTCACTCAGCTCAGGTGGAGACTGTGATATCGCCGAAAGACACTCTTACATGGATGCTGTTCAGAGACAACCGACCGCAGCCGGTGATTGTTTTGTGATGATAACGATCGTAATCCGCCTGAATTCCCTCAGATGCATCCTATGCGATCTGTCATCAGCAGCGTTGACTTCTATTCCACCATAATGTGCCTCGTAATCTTGTTGATCTCTGGACTGGAACGAAAAATTTTGATGTTTGTTTAGTTGGGGAAAACTGATCACCAGGACACTGAGGCATTGGTTCCCATCAACAAGGCTGCAAGCCTGTAAGTTGTAAGATACATTTGATGGAAATCAGATGGAAATGATGGAGTAGTTGATGACGAGGCTGTTGATGATTGTCACTTTTGCAGGGAACGAGTGTTCTTAGGAGAGGATTCGCGAGTGAAAGACAATGAGAAATTCTGTGAAGCTGCAGGTAACGAAGGGGGCGATGAGCGATTAGAATTCTCCTTCTCTCTCGCTTCTCAACATGTCAAGAAGACATTCTGAAGTAATCTTCTGATCGTGATTGTCCTTTCTCAATCTTCCAGTGGTATCGACCATCGTTGAGTGGGACGACCAACCCTCGATCAGTTATCCGGTGAAGAGCAAGCATGTCAAGGTTCCAATGATTAAACTCTGATATTTGTCTGGCAGATCACTATGTACCTTGCATGTTATGTTCGACATCTCAACACAATCAAGATCTTCAGGTTGTTGACCCTCCTCCAAGAGCTCGTTCCTGTTGTCGTAACTTCTTTCTCCTCACCCCTCTTTCAGATACCTCTTCCTGCACGAGAACCCTTACGCTGCTGAGAAGATTTCCCTGACTGACTTGCCAGATAAGGTGCTCACAACTTGACCCCCTCCCCCCCCAACTCACTTCCTCTTCCTCTCCCTCTCCCTCTCCCACTTCCTCTCCTCCTCCCTCCTCCCACTTCCTCTCCTTCTCCATCTCCCTCCTTCTCCCACTTCCTCTCGCCCTTTCCCTCACCCTCCGCCTCCGGCCCCCATTACCTCTCCTCCTCCATCTTTCTCCTCCTTCGGCTCTGACCATCTCATGCTGTTTCCTGCAGGATGGTTGTCGGGCGCGACTGTTAGGGAGCTTGAGGGAGAAGTTCTCGTGGGTCAAGAAAGAGGAACTTGAGCAAGCTATCCTTTCCTCCTCCTCCTCCTCCTCCTCCTCCTCCTCCTCTGCTCCTGCTCCTCGTGCCCCTTCTTTTGCGCCGAGCCTCCTCCTCCTCCCGAATGGGATGGTCGTACCAGCTTGTCCTCCGGTGAAACTATTTTGAGGCAATGAAGGGGCTGATGTTTTGGAGCAGGGGACGATCCAAAGATGAAGTCGAGGCGAGCAAGACCGAGGAGGAAGAGACGAGGGTGGGGAGAGGAGGGAGACTACGTGCCGGGAGGGGAGGAGGAGAGATGAGGACGAGGACGAGGACGAGGACGAGGACGAGGACGAGGACGGGGTTTCCTTCTATCAAGGGAGGAAGGCGACCTCAAACGAATCGACAGGATGGGATGGTGTAAAAACCAGAAACATCCTCTTCTTATCCTCCCCCCCCCCTTCCCCCCCCCTTCCTCCTCTTCTGCTCTTTCTCACACGCAAGATCGCGACTCTCGCATGCTCACCAGAGCTTCTCTTGTTGGACATTCTGAAAGGCATCTGTGAAATCATCAGCTCCTCCCTCCCTCCCTTCCTCCCTCCCTCCTTCCCTCCCTTCCTCCCTCCCTCCCTGAATCCCTCCCTCCCCCTGCCTCCTTCCTCGTCTTCGCTCTTCTCCCTCCTCTCGCTCTTTGTCATACCCGCGGGGGATTCTCGGGTCCTTGTCGACGTCGATAGGATGCTCTCCGAAGCTCCACTGGCACTCCTGGGTTCTGCGATGGAGTGAGGAAGGAGGAAGCAAAGAGAAGAAGAGGAAGGAGGAGAAGGGGAGCGGAAGAGGAAGGAGAGGAGGGGATGAGATGGGAGCGAAGGGAGATGCAGTGGGCGGAAGAGGGAGTAGGGAGGGAGGAAAGGAAGAGGGAGGGAGGGAGGGAGGGAGGGGAACAAGAGTCCTACTCGAAGTTTGGAGTGACAGTTAGTGGGAGTCCGAGTTCCTGTGGTAGGATGAGGAGGAGATGGCGCATGCTGACTTGACATGCCTGAGAGAAGAATTGCTGGGCTGGAAGTTTGCACTGGTTGATACACAGACTCTTACATCCAGACTCCTGTTGTCCTTGTCAGCTGTCCTGTCCTGTCCTGTCCGCTCCTCTCCTCTTCCCATTCTCTCCTCTCCTCTCCTCTCCTCTCCTCTCCTCTCCGCTCCGCTCCTGTCCTGTCCTGTCCTGTCCTGTCCCCTCTCCTGTCCTCCCATCTTCTCTCCCCTCCACAATCTTCCCCTCCCCTCACTTCTTCGCTATGTTCCACTCTTCTCTCCTCCTCTCTCACCTGAAGAAACTTGCATTTCTCCACCACCAGCCCCCCTAGCTGTCCGTCTTTTCTTCTGTTCGGTCGGCTCGGGCCCACCAGGAAACCAAAGAATGTCGGAGTGACAAACGACGTTAGCCATGCCGCCTGCCTCTCTTGTTAATGACTCCTCCTCCTCCCTCCTCCTTCCCACTCTCCTCCTCCTCCTCCTCCTCCCTCCTCCTTCCCTCCCTCCCTCCCTCCTCCTCCCTCCTCCCTCCTCCTCCTCCAATCCTTGTCCCCCCATTTCCCCAGCTTATCCTTTCTCCCTTTCTGCATTTTCCAGTCTCGTTCTCCTCCTTCCCACCCTCCTCCCTCCTCCCTCTTCCCGCCTCGCTCCTCCCTCTTCCTACCCACGGCCAGGGCCCATATTGTTTCCCCGCGATGATTCCGGACATGAACACCTACAGCATCATTACATCCTGATCCTCTCACTTCCTCCTCCCTCCTAAATGATTCATCTCCTCCTCTGTCTCTGATCCCCCATCCGCTCTCCCCCATCCTCGTCCTCGTCTTCGTCGTCCTCGTCCTCGTCCTCGTCCTCGTCCTCGTCCTCTTTCCTACCTTGTAGAATGGCGGCATGACGGGCGTCAGCAGCCCTGACAGCTCGTAAGTACCCCTCGACTCGCTCTGGGTGCACCTGCTAGCGTGTTGTACACCATCCGGTTCTGCGCCTCCGCCGTCTGACCAGGACGAAGGAGATACTCGCGCCCTTGCTCGAGAAGTCCGAGGATTCCCTTCACCGTGAATGTCAGGTCCTCCTCTCCTCTCCTCTCCTCTTCCATCCTCTCCTCTTCCATCCTCTCCTCTCCTCTCCTCTCCTCTCCTCTCCTCTCCTCTCCTCTCCTCTCCTCTCCTCTCCTCTCCTCTCCCACCTCTTTCTCGCTTTGAAACCCCGTCTCCTTCGCTACCAAACTCCGGAAGATGGACAGCAGAACTTTGTCGAGCGGGCTCTCAGTGTAAGTCACGTTGGGGAGGGAGCAGCTGGGGAAGAGCTCGGCCTCGTATGCCTCTCGATTTACAGCTCGAGACTTGTCCAGCAGGGAGATGTCAACTTTCTGGCAGCTGGAGTCAGCGGGGGAGGGAGGAGGAGATGGGAGGAGGGGAGGAAGGAGGAAACGGTAAGGAGGAGGGAATGCGATGGAGAAAGCAGCAGAAGCGAGGAGGGAGGAGCGGAGCGGAGGAGCCCAGAGGAGGCAGGAGGAGACAGGAGTTGGTACCTGCGGCTGCTTACGAACTCTACCCTCATACGGCACGTCCTGAACGTTAGGAAGATCGTTCCTGTCCACCATCCCTCCCAGTGCCGTTGCTGCCCTGACATAGGCAGCGTAGTCGTGCTGGATGAGCTGGTGCAAGAGGCTCCTCCTCTCGGCCAGCAGGTCTCCAGCTGCCTTGTCCTTCCCTCCCTGGGCCTCGATCTCAGCCGTCAGCCGCAGGATCTTGCTTTCCTCGTTTCTCTCCGTGTGGCTCCAGGCCCATGCCTCCTTCTTCACGTCTGCTGACGGGAACAGCATCATGCGCATGCCGGACCCTCGGCCTGCGCATCTCCGAGCCGCAGGACCACGAGGAATGTCAAGAGCTGCAGGAGGGCAGAGGAAGCAGCTCACGTCGACGAGAGCAAGCGACAAGCAGAAAGCCACTCGCAGCACGCTTCTGAACATTTGCTTCCTGCATGACAGCATAGCGGTCACAATCTAGCCACAGAAAACAACTTAATGCATGACGATGCTGCTAATAGCACTCTTGTCTCTATTCTCCTCCTCAAACGATACGAGCCTTTCTCGATTGTCGCCCCCTCTAAATTTTTATCCTCCACTCTGCTACTCCCCACCTCCTGCTCCTGCTCCTGCTCCTGCTGCTCCTGCTGCTCCTGCTCCTCCTGCTCCTGCTGCTCCTCCTGCTCCTGCTGCTCCTCCTGCTCCTGCTGCTCCTCCTCTCCCTTCCCTCATCCTTCATGGACAGTGTACATGCTCACAAGGAACAATGTAAGCAGCAAGGTGGGGTACTTAGGTCCTCAGAAAGTACCGGGTGTCCTCTGAACAAAAAAGGGGTTCAATTTGGTGTCCGGTGGTCCATTCAGAAGATTAGGGGGTGGGGGTTATGGTTATAAAGGCAAAGGTAGTTTGCTCCGAGATGAGACTGGGGCGAGAAATGGAGGAAGAGGGGGGAAGGGGGGGGGGGGAGGAGGAGGAAGGAGGAAGGAGGAAGGGGACAAGGCAGGGAGGAAAACGATGAAGCTGTAGGCCAAGAACAGTGTTTAGAGAGGAAGAGCGCATTTTTTTATCCAAGAATGAAGATATTCGAAGATTTCATGCTGTTTGTACTCATTGAGAGTGAAGGCTAAGCTCGCTTACGACAGATGGGAAACGGCTTCTCTCTGATTGCTCTGCCCCAATGGTACAGAGAATGGGGATCGATGTACGGAAAGAACGGCTTCCTGCAGGTGTGTTCCTTCTAACCTCTGTGGTAGTAATGAAGTTTGCTGGGGGTGTTGATTGAGATGTTGATTGAGATGTTGATTGAGATGTTGATTGAGATGTTGATGTTGATGTTGATGTTGATGTTGATGTTGATGTTGATGTTGTGGTTGTAATTGTTGTTGATGATGATGCCGTTGGAGACGATGAAGACGACGGGGAGAAAGAAGACGATAGTGATGATGATGAAAAACGTGAAACGATCAAGAGATTAGCTGACGGGGTGATGCGGCAGGCGTCAAGATCGGCACAATGGGACACCACTGATCTCAAAGATCTGTCAGGCAGAGTCCACATCATCACGGGAGGGAACGCTGGTATCGGCTTCGAAGTAGCCAAGGAGCTGGCTAGGAGGAACGCAATCGTGCACATGCTCTGCAGGAACAAGGAGAGGGGCGAGGCGGCAAGAGAGCAGATCGCCAAGGAGACGGGCAACAGCCAGGTGAAGAGCCTTGCTCCAGCCTGCTGCCTGCTGCCTCCTGCCTGCTGCCTCCTGCCTGCTGCCTCCTGCCTCCTGCCTCCTGCCTCCTCCTCCATGTCGTTCACTCACGTTTCTCAGGTTTTCCTGCACACCGTCGATGTGTCAAGCGCCCAGTCCTGTCGCAGCTTTGCGGAGAAATTTCTGGAGTCCAACGAGAAGCTTCACGTCCTCGTCAACAACGCTGGGATCCTGCCGACCGAGAGAGAGACGACGGTCGATGGGCTCGAGAGCTGCATGGCGACGGCGCTGGGCGGGAGCTTCCTCCTTACCGGCCTCCTCTTGCCAGCTCTCAAGAACGCGAAGCCGTCGGTGGTCGTCAACGTGACTTCAGGTGAGAGGGAAGGAGGAGATGAGGGAAGTCACCGGCCGCTGTCAGCTGGGATGTACCTGGCGAAGACCGACGTGGATGATCTCGAGGTGAGAGCACTCAGCTGGGGTGGCTGATGCTGAGGGGGCTTGAAGATGAAGAAGAGGAAGTTCGACGGGTTCCTGCAGTACTGCAGAGCCAAGAGGGCGCAGGTTGGCGGTTGAGGGGAGCAGGACGAGGGATGACGGCGGGGGGTAGGTTGAGCTCAGCGAGATCTGGTCAGAGAAGCTGGGAGGCAGGTGAAAGTGTTTTTGCTCCTACCGCTCCTCCCGCTCACGTTGTTTCTGCGATCCAGCGGGATTTCCTTCCACTCCATGTGAGCTCAGGGCGGGACAAGACGGGAGGCGGCGAGTGACGACTCGCAGGCATCCGGGATATGCTGTCACTCCGGGTGTAGAGGTCTTTGCCCCTTCCTGCCCCTCTGCTGATCAACTTGTCCTTCCCTCCTGTCCACCTTTCCTGCCCACCTGCCCTCCTGCCCTCCTGCCCACCTGCCCTCCTGCCCTCCTGCCCTCCTGCCCTCCTGCCCTCCTGCCCTCCTGCCCTCCTGCCCTCCTGCCCTCCTTCCTGCCTTTCCGTGCGCCTGTGCCCCTGGACTTCTGCGCTCCTCTTTCCTCCTCCTCAACCACCGTCACCACACCTGCTCGATCAACTTTGCAACTCAACACCTCTTTACTTGGAGACAGAAACTCCCAGGGCTCGGAGACAGAAAGCCTGGAGGTTTCATAGAGCAGCATGGTCCCTCGCTCCGATCCGCTGCTCAGGAAGACGCAGATCGCTGTACGCCGTTGGGAAGCTGACGTGCAGTGCAGGGAGCGGACACGATTGTATGGATGGCCAGCGCTCCCGTCGTCTCCTCCTCCACCGGTGAGAAAGCGATTCGGCTGGGCCGTTGGGATGCGAGTGATGGTGGAAGGAAGTGCAGGAGAATGGTGGAGGGCAAACAGAAAAACACGCATGGAGCAGAAGCAGGAGTAGAGGCGGGGGAGAGAGTAGGGGAAGGGGAAGGAGTAAGATCAGGGGAGTTAGGACGGAGGAAGAGGAGGGACGTAGAGTCATTCAAAATTGAGGGACTGAAGCTCGGGGCAGGCAAGCTCTGGTTTGACAGGAGGGCCGTGCACACCAGGTAAGTGAAGGGAGGGAGAGAAGGTTACGAGAGGTGACGGCCTGTCAAGTTTCCCCCTGTCCTTCACAACTCTGAACCAGTCAGAACGTGAAATATTGTAAGTTGCTCCATACACGCCCCCCCCCCCCGGACGCTGACGTCATCGCGTCCAGATGGAGGAGGTGCGGGGAGCTCATGGGATGGAAGTTGGAGTAGAAACTGAGCTCTTGCGTCGACTTACGAGGCCTCGACCTTCCCCGGGGATCAAAGATGTCCGGGAGGCAGCAAGCATCTCATGTTTCTTGTATTTACATTCAGTGGGTAGCAGCGGTCTCATAAGTTTGCAAAGCTTGCCAAGGGTTCGGAAGTTGACCTCTCTGTTGAGCCGAGGCGCTGCCTGTGTAACAACAGCACCAGCGTGAGCAACCAAAAAGCAGTAACGACGCTGATGCTGTTGAGGAAGATGATGATGACGAGGAGGAGAAGGAGAAACAGGATGACAAGGAGCAGTCCATGGGTGAGTGAGTGCAGAGGAGGATGCGACAGGAAGCATAAAAGTAAATGAGGAGGCATACAACGTGTAACCCACCAGTGTCCGCAGCAGCAGACGCGATCTGCTTCATCTTCTGCATCAGGGAGGATGTTCTAGCCTTCATCGCAGGCATCTACAAGCCAGTGAGATTGTCGTGCACAACCTGAGATCCTCTCACCTGGTAAGGGAAGGTATCTACATAGTTAGGGAGGGGGGCTGCGCTGGGGAAAGGGACTGCGCTAGGGAAAGGGGCTGCGGCTACTGGGGGGACGAAGGGACGAGGGGGAAAGCGGCTGGGTACTGCTCTGGGCATTGGAGGACGGAGAGTGACCTGTAAGAGAGTAAGGAGAGGATGGAGAAGGCAAGGCAATCGTCACCGTTGTCTGTGGAACCACAACACCCGCCTGCCCACCGCTGGCTTTCCATGCGCTGTAGAAAGCCGACGAGGAGGAAGACGCTAAGAGGGGACAGCATGAGATCAGATCATTCCCGTGGCACGCAGTCCTCTCACCTGAGGGGATACTTGCTCCTGTCCTCTCGCTCTGCTTCCCGCAGTTAGTCCCACAGTTCGGCACTTGAGTCCCAGACGGGAGGCTCGAGTAACCGAACTGGCCGATCCCGTTCACTCCTCCTGAGACACCTCCAGTCAAGGAAGCCTCCACAGGCCCCTCCTTCTCTGCTGCTGTGTCCATGGCAAGATCAGCGATCTTCTTTGACACTTCCTTGGACGTGATGACCCTGGTGACTGCCTCTGCGATCTTCTTCGCCTCCTCCTCCACCTTCTTCTGTCTTTCCTCAATGTTCGCCTCAACGGCCGCCAGAGTTGCCTTGTACTCTTCGCTGGATTCATCATCTTCATCTCCCTCAGCCTCCTTCTCGCTGCTGTCCTCCGACGGCACATCCTTCAACAGCTGGGCGCGCTTGCCCCCCAATACCTTTTTCGACCCCTCTCCACTCTTGCCCGCCGGACCTTCGAGAGGAGAGAGCTTGATCCTTCCCGTCACGAACTTGCCGTACACATACCCGACGGCATCAGCAACGCCAGGCTTCTGCTTGCCATTGGGGAACTGGACATCCCACAGCTTCAAAGAGCCACCTGGTACCGCTACTACACAATCATCCTGAGACCTCAAACACGCGGAGGAGAGTGCAGCAGCTTCAGGAGCTCCCTGCTCCTCCTCAACGAGCTCTTCACTGATAATATGGGAGCTCTGGATCGCTATCATCACGCACAGAAGCAGCGCGCACATGGCGACCGCCTGTGCAGCCTGCCGCCATGCCGGCATCGCTCGTCGAAGAGTCAGGGTAAGTACCAGTTACATAACGTTATCTTTCAGTTATAAAAGGCCGTTACACCGTTTCGAGACCGTTTTACAGAAATGGGAAACGAGCCCAGAAGCTTTTATTCGCAAAAATGATGGAGGATGCGAGGGGAGGGGGGGGAGGAAGGAGAGGGGAGGGAGAGGAGAGAGGGGGAGGAGAGGAGGGAGGGAGAGGAGGGAGAGGAGTGAGGGGAGAGCAGAATGAAATAGAGCTGATTGAAGACGCAGCATAGGGAGGCGGGAGCAGGAGAGGAGGGACTGACGATTATCCAGCACCGGTCCCTCGTTTCCTCCATGTCTCATCACAGATAGCAATCCTTGCGGGCGGCTAAGATGAGAGGCTGTTGGACGATCTCTAGCGTGCTCGTCGTGCTCGTTGCGGTCTTCCTTCCAAGAATCTACAAGATCCACGTCAGTCTTGACTTCTCACCGGCTGCGCCATGAACCTTTCTCGTTAACCCTTCGTGACTTTGACAGGTTGAGCGGAACCTATCGTATCCTACGGTGATTGAAACTCGATTCCGGCATGATGTCTAAAAGTTTGTGTAAAGGACTCTATCTTCGGGTGGTTTGCTGTACAGACGATGGTGCAGTACAACAGTCCTGGTCGAGGCTTCCGTGTCCCAGCAAGTTCCTGAACGAGTACAGGTGTGCTCGATGCGATCGAGAAGTTGGCGTTGAAGGAAAACAGCACACTGCTCGAGCTTTGCATCGGACCTGGTGTAGCACTCTGAACGATCCTTGACTGTGCTCATGTGAGACGCAGGGTATGGCGTGCAAGAAGCGCTCCGCTACAAGGGGGTGAAGGTGATTGGGGTTGACGTTTCACCCGTAAGTGTTGGAATGCAGCAAGCAGGAGGGGGTTTTGTTGACGCATGCCGAAGGACATGGTGAAAATGGCGAGCGAGGCAGTTCAGGGTGCCATCGATGAAGGAAGAGCTTCGGTGGTGTTGGGCGATGCGCGGAACCTGACGTTCCTTGGGGATGAACAAGTAGATAAGGTCTTTGCCAGCTCTTGTGGAGCGTCTCACCTGAGATGGAGTCGCTAAGGTGTTTCATATGAACTGCTGTTACTTCTGGGACAACGTGGAGGATACTCTGAAAGAAATTCTTCGGGTGATGAAGCCAGGTGATGACTGGTTTCTTCTCCTCCTCCATGCCCTTCAAGCATTGCCCTTTCCTTCATTTGGCTTGCGGAAGCCTCGCTTCCTGACCCTCTCCTCTGCCGAACTTTGCTGCACTCCTCTTCGTCTCACCATACGTCACAACCTGAAACTTGTCTTTGAGCAGGAGGCGTGATGCTTTCCGGGGTGAAATTCGAACAATTGCAGCAGTGGGATGCGCATCCAGCGTTCTTCAAGTGACTTGCAGTGCGGAGGAGGAAATTTTTCTGACAAGCTCACCTAGAATGAGAGATGAGAAGATCTTCCTCAAGGCTTTGAAGGCTGTAGGATTTAAGAAGATCACGGTCAAGAAGGTGAAGCTCTTTCCTCGTTCTCCCCTCCCCGATGCATCTTCTCGATCAATGCTCCCTTCCCTCAATTCTGTTTCCACTCTCTTCGACGCCTCTCCTCCTTTTCCTCGGCGCTCTTACCTCCCTGCTGACAAACTCGCTGCAGGTGCGTTTGGGCTCTAGCTGTACCGGGACGAAGGCGATGAGTGGTTGTCCGGTCCACGAGGGTAATCGCTTTCTTCCTTCATCCACTCCCGTGCTCATCAGCCTGCCACAGGAATGCACTACACTGCCATCTTTGCCGAGAAGCCCGAGAGATGACATCTGTCCTGGAGTTTCTTGTTATTCATCTTCACTGCAATAATAATGTCCTCTCTCCCTTGCCTCGCCCCGCCGCACCCTCTCGTTTGTCCCTTACTCCTCTCCTACCACGTCCTTTCTCCACACGGCCGTCTTGAAGCCCCCCTTCCGCCTCAGGCTTCTCAATCCTTGAAGAAGAGTTCCCGGCATAGTCGCATGGTCTCTTCTGGCGAGGTAACAGTATGCCCGATGGTGCGCGAGTCCTCAAAGATCTCGTAGTCGTTCCCTCCAGGTGACGTCTTGTCCCCGAAGAAGTGGATCTCCTTGTACCCTTCCGTCTCCACGAACCTCAAGCAGTAGGTCTTGTCCCACCTGGCACAGCTCCGTCACGGTGCAGGCAACAGAGAGCGGCATCACTCACCCCTGGGGAAAGACATCGAAGCTGATCTGCCCTCCAATGGAGAACTTGAGGTTGAGGTCGGCAAACTCAGTCTCGAGCTTTGCAACCATCTTCTTCCTGATGTTGTGCACCTGCATGGGCGATGAGAGTCGATGTCAAGGCAGCGAAAGTATGTCAACGTGATCATATTGTTCGAAGGCGTCTCGCTCTTCCTGGTTGCAGTTCCTTCCGATTGGAGACACGTTGATCATACCGTTGCGGAACTCAATGAAAGTCCCTCTCTTCACGGGGATGTCGACGTCGGCAAGGTAGCGGAGGATCCAGTTGACCAGGCGCTTGATGTTGTCTTCGCCGAGATACTTCTTCAAGCTCTGCACTTCGATGGATTTTCCATCTTTGAAGGCGTTCAGCCCGTTCTCAGGAAAGGCCCAGTCAACGATTTCAAGGTAATCGTCTCCCAGCTGCTCTTTGGCCTTGGCCAGATCCGATCCTCCAACGACACCTACCCCCCAGCGCCATCGTCAACCCCCATGTTGTGTTCAAGTCATACCCTCACCAATAGTGACTCGCTTGCGCAAATCTTGCAGGAACTTGATCATCTCACTGGTGGCCTCCTGCCACATCGATCAGCACCGGCCGGATCCTCGACGTCTTACCTTGCGGGGTGCCGTGAGAGTCCCGTCGATGTCTGACAAAGAGACCATCAGGAACGAACATGGCGTAACTTGTAACACAGACAAAGAAGTGTGTGGGGGAGTTGCAAGAACAGACGTTGCGATAGTGGGACATCATAGACGACAAGAACATGACGATGTGGGAGAATCCGGCAGAGGACTTGATCGGTGGAAAAGGAGGAGCAGCAGGATGAGGATGAGGATCAGGACGAGGATCAGGATCAGGAGCAGAAACAGGAACAGGACGAGGACAGGATCAGGAGCAGAAACAGGATCAGGACGAGGATCAGGAGGAGGATCAGGCTCAGGATGAGGATGAGGAGGAGGATGAAGATCAGGCTCAGGAGCAGGAGGAGGATCAGAAGGAGTAGGATCAGAAGGAGGATCAGGATCAGGATCAGAAAGACCAGGATCAGGATCAGGATCAGAAAGACCAGGATCAGGTGCAAGATCAGGAAGAGGAGGAGGAGGAGGATCAGGATCAGGATCAGGATCAGGATCAGGATCAGGATCAGGATCAGGAGCAGGCTCAGGAGCAGGCTCAGGAGGAGGAGGAGGAGCAGGATCAGGATCAGGATCAGGAGCAGGATCAGGAGCAGGAGCAGGATCAGGCTCAGGATCAGGCTCAGGATCAGGATCAGGATCAGGATCAGGGGGAGGAGCAGGAGGAGCAGGAGGAGCAGGAGGAGCAGGAGGAGCAGGATCAGGATCAGGAGGAGCAGGAGGATGGTGGGTCACCGAAGAGAACGAGGGTGTCCTTGCGCGAAGGAACCGCCATGTTTACAAGCTCCCACTACACCACTTCCAAGGAAGAGTGTACCTACAGTTTTACTCAACTAGGACCCCACCTCCTGACTGATCCTCACCCCACCCCACTTATCAGCTTCATGCATAAGTCGAAATACCCCTCATTTGTACATTATAACCCCTCCCAGCACTAATCGGCCTCTGCCATTACATGGCCTTATTACTACTCTTGGTGGAGATGACCTGCTCATTGGGGGGGGTGGGGGTAGGCAGTTCTTTAAATGGCGTTACATGTCGTTATAACAAGTCAAGTCGTTACAGATCGTTACAATACGTTACATCATACCGTTTCAATGGTTGCTCCTACCGGTCCTTGCAATAGGAAACTACCCGGTGTCCAAGCTCTACGTCTACGTAATGCCACCCCCACCTCCCAATTTCCAGTTTTTAATTCACCAAAGTATGGGTAGTCACTTGGTCCTCCTTTCCTCTACTTAGATGGGGGATGGGGAGTAGGGGGTGACTATCTGTGGGGGGTGAGGGTACAAGGACTATGGGTAGTGATGTGCATTCTTCCATGGAGGAAATGCCGGCTGATTCATGGTAGGGTACTTGATGCCTTCCAATACCGGTGAATTTAGTTATTTTCAGGGGTGGGGTATGAAATCAAAGAGGGTGTGCTTTCTGAAGGAGTTGGGGAGAAACCAAAATGAGTGGGTAGAGGTGAAAAATTCATGGTAGGGGTACTTACCGAGGGGTGGGGGTGAGCTAAAGGTAGGGTACAGGGTAGCGTGAGAGGTCGAGGACGAGGAGAGGCAGCAGCAATGGTGGCTGAGAACTTTGGAGAAGCATGCCCGGCGTCGGCGCCGTTCTTTGGTTACATGGGAGCAGCAGCGGCTCTCATCTTTGCAAGTGAGTTTGTAATGTTGTTCTTGCAGTCTCTTCACATGTTTGACCCTGTGAGGACCTGTTGCGTGACAAAGAGTGTCAAGAGGTTGTTTGGTTTGGTGGGGTTTGATATCACTGTGAAGTGCCTTGGAAATGATGGAGAGGCAGAACGAAGTTCCTTTCCACCATGAGTGTACTTGATGATTGAGCTCAGTTTGTAACCTCTGGTTGCTGTCATTGATTCGTGGTGAACGATGTGTTTGTTGCACATGCGCTCGCAAGTTCCCTAGTGTCTTAGTGGAAGCTTGCGAGCTTCATTCCTCTATACAATTAGGGATACTCTTTTTATGTGTCAACATCTGTCCAGATGATGTGCCATCAACACTGTGCCTTTTTGTTCAATACACGTGCCGTTTGCTTAATAGGAATTCAATGTCGCCTTTTTTTTGAGTACCATCGACCATTGTCTGTTTCATAGCAAAGCTGTTATATTTTTTTGTGTACTTATCTATTTTTTTGTGTATTTGTCTATTTTTTTGTGTACTTGTCTACCGTGTTTATTTGTGTGGTATCTGTGCATGTTAATTTTTTGAGTTCCAAATTCTTCATCCCTGATTATTCTTGTAAACAGACTTGGGAGCAGCGTATGGAACTGCTAAATCCGGCGTTGGAATTTGCTCCATGGGCGTAATGCATCCTGGATTGATTATGAAATGTAATTTGTTGTTGTTTCTTTCTATTCCGTTTAATATTTGTTCACAGCAATTATCCCCGTGGTTATGGCTGGTGTGATTGGCATTTATGGATTCATTATAGCAGTTGTTGTTGGAACGAAGAGTGAGTTGATTTCTTTGAACCAGTTCTCTTGCTGACCAAGACCACAGTCAAGGAGCCAGTGGGTGGAGGATCTCAGGCTGTCACTCCTCAGTACACCTTGTTCTCGGCCTTCGGACATTTGGGGTCTGGCCTCACTGGAGGCTTGAGTGGTCTTGCTGCAGGCATGGCCATTGGGATCGTTGGTGATGCTGGAGTTCGTGCTACTGCTCAGCAGCCCAAGCTTTTCGTCGGAATGATCCTCATTCTTATCTTCGCTGAGGCTCTTGGGTTGTACGGACTTATCGTTGCTCTGATCATGTCCTCTTCCGGAGGTAAGTCATGCCTTCAATGTTGTGCCAAGACAGTAAGTAATCACATTTTCTTCCTCTAGGTGGATCCTGCCCATCTGCCTAAACATCTGATTCGAAGAATCCAGACAAACAGGAGATACTTAGAAGTGTGCATTGAATGAATCATTTGAAAAACACTCGCTTCAAAGTTAAAGTCCATTGAGTATGTCATAACTCTTGTCTGTCATTCCCAATTGACCCACTTTCAACGCTGTCTGTACTCTCAGTCTCCAGATTGTTCTCCTCCTCATCAACAATCTCAGGAATGTGTTCGTTAAGGAACTCGATGAATCCCTGTAGAAAGGAGGTCAGCAGCGGAGCGTGTGGGTTAGAGGAACACTCACCTGCACGTTGCGATCTCTTTCGAATAAGATCGCCTGAGTGAACTTTCCGCCCATGAGCTTCAGGGTAGGATAACCATCAACGTCATGCTTAGTGCAAAACTCCTGCGCGAGATCTGACGACGAGCACTCCACTTCCATGAAAATGACTCGGCCGGACATCCTCGTGGCAGCATTCTCGAAAGCCTTCTTCATTGCAAGGCATCGAGAGCACCACTTCTCATAGAACTTGACAAAGACAGGATACTGGTCTGTGATCAGGTCCTCGCTGTGTTTAGATCAGGTTTCATTTCCCCTCCACGATGTGAGTTTCACCTATATGGAAAGACGTCCTCCTCAGTCGTCTCCTCCAGCTTTGTCAGGATAAATTCGGAAAGCTTCTCAGGCATCATTTCCCTGGTGTACCGCTCTATAATGTCGGTGAGCAAGGCGTGTACGATCAAAATTTTCCATCAATTCTTTCTTACCCATCCCCTGCCCTTCGATCGAAACGTAAAGCATGGGAAATTTTTTCAATCCCTTCTCCTGCATCTTCACGATGTTTCGCCCCTGATACAGACAATGAACCTTGTAGGACAGGAACTCCTCCAGGCAAATGTTCGTCACCTCATAAGCATCGCACTTCTTGAACACGATCTTTTCGGCTCCCGCAACGCCGCTGTCCTGCATGGCTCTTGAGAGAGGTCGTCCACAGCAACGTGGAGAGCAAACATAAAGGATGCGAGACTGTGACGATGCCTCACCTTCACAAGAGCTTCAGCTCCGAGAAAGACCTCCAATGCAACCTCGTCTTCTTCTATTCCTCCCTATGAGACGGTCACAAAAAAATGCACATTGAAGCCGACCGGCACAGCCTGCCTCACCTTATACATGAGCACTACTTGATTTATGTCAGCTGGATCCAGCGCTTCAAATGGCACTTCCTCCGCCGCATGAACACTGGGCTGAAAGAACTTGGAGAACTCATCGATCAATACAGCGCCTTCCCTCACAGCAGAGAGCGTACCACTGCAATCAGCAGGACAACGGCCAACGATACCATGCTCAGCGACAGGCTTGGTATCGTTCTTTTCATGGAGAGGAAGAGAAAGGTGTCTCGTGCAGGAACGGGTCTGATGTTCAATCGTCCGCGATGTCTCTGCTACGCTCGCTACCGTCCGCCCGCCTCCTCCACTTGGGCCAGCGAGAAAGCTGCCATGTTGGCGGATCTCGGCTCTAGACTAGATAGGGTGAGTTACCCGGCGCGGCCGGGCCGGGCCACTCGGACTGAGCAGCCGCCGCCCGCTTGTGGACTCCGGGCCAGTCCGGGATCATGACTCGACTTGACTCCGACTGCCATCAGTCGTGGCCGCCCGACCGACGTACGGTCCCGGGGCCCCGGCCGCCCCGGCCGATCATCACCGCCGTGCTAGTACTGACGGTCACGGCCGGGGGTACCGCCGCTTCCGAAGTTTGCCCCGGGCCCCTCCGGGGGCCTCGGCACAAAGCCCTCAGCGATGGGGAGCCTAGTAGGCCCCCCCCCCCGGCTGCGCCGCGAGTGACTCGAACTTTCACGCCCGGCCGCGGCTGCCAACGGTTACTTGGCCCAGTGGGCCGGCAGTTCACCGTCCGATCCGGGGGCCCCGGTGTGATTGTACTAGCCGCTGAGGTACGGTACTATGATCAGGCTATAAGCTAGTTTACTCAAAGTGAAGTTAAAATCAGTACGAGGACAATCAGGAGAGTCGAGGAGGCTTGACCCTGACACTGTCGCACAGGCCCGGGCCCGGCACAGTGCCCGGCCAGCTTTAGTGCCAGCAATGCCACTACTAAGATCTGTAATCAAGCATAATAAGGTTTATAGTCAAACATGTTTGGCGGTTAGAGTGCATGGGGAAATCAGGAGGAGACGGCGGAGGATGGGGAGCTGGAGGAGGAGGAGAGAGGAGAAGCCGATGACGAGGATGGCGAGATTGTACATGGGAGGGGACACGAGCTTTGATTGTGACGGAGACCATCTCCTGAGAGACAAGCACCTGTACCGAGAGTTTGAAGCGGGCTCAGGGAGTCTCGAAACTGTTGTACAAGTGCAGTGAAGGGCATCGATAGCAGAGAGGAGCTAGGGTGATCGCTCCAGCACATCTTCACAGCTCTTTCAGCATTGGAACATTTGCTTGACGGGTAGGGACTCGAAGTCTCGGCATCTTCAGCTCTCCTGGGCTCTGCCAAGGGTACAAACATGGATGTGGACGGGTCTTGGATCTCAACGACGAGTGACGCGCTCCATGGAAACCTCGAGCGCACGTCCCGGAATCCTCTTGTTGATGACCATGTCTACACCAAGGTGAAGCGAACGAAGAACTTCGAAGCAAGGCCCGCGGTGATCCATTTCCCGGGGTTGGAGGTTGGGCGATTCTATGAGAAGTCCGTGCGGATCGTGAATGTTTCTCGGTTCACGCAGAGGCTTCACATCCTTCCTCCTCAGACTCACTTCTTCTCCTTCCAGTATGACAAGAAGGGGAAGATCTCCCCTGGCATGTCTGAGAAGATTTTCATCCAGTTCAGCCCCAACGAGCTGCGCTACTACCATGACGCCATCCGCATCCACTGCGATGGAGAGAACCTCCTCGTTCCCCTGCATGCCTACCCGACCATCTCTCCGAGTGTCCCTGCCCCCTCTGTTACCCTCCCTCCCTCCAGCGGAAAGAACGAGCTCGTCTTCTTCCCGAAGCAGATTGACTTCGGCATGTGCCTGCTCGCCCAGGAGCACCAGAGGCTGCTGCCGGTCAGGAGCCACGTTCCCTTGGAGTTCGACTTCTCCATACGCATCATGAGCGCGCATCCTGACATGCAGGTGGAGCCGCAGCAAGGACGAGTACCTCCGCTCGGGCAGGTGGAGGTGGTGCTGACGTACACGCCAAGCCGGATGGTCACTGCAGAGATGATCCTTGAGATTCAGATCGAGCAGTTCAATTTTCATCCTCATCGCCTCTCCGTCATTGGATCTGCCCGGCCGAATGCGAGGAGGCAGGCGGCGCTCGAGGACCTGACGGCTTCACTTCGAGGGGAGGGAGACTTCGTTGAGTTGCAAGAGCTGGAGCAGGTGGACAAGCCTATGCGGGTGGGAGAGGGGAGGGTGGACGTTGTGAGGCTGCACGATGAGACGAGGAGCTCGGAGGAGATGCAGAGGAGGGGTGAGAAGGAGAGGACGGGAGGGGCCACGCAGACCTCCCGCAAGTCTCCTGCTGAGGCTGAGGGGAACATAGAGATGAAGGGCGTGATGATCCCAGCAGACCTGAGGACGAGGAAAGCGACGCAGTACGTCCTGAATCAAGTGACGGGGAAGCGATCGTGGAAAGAGCTCAAGAGGCAGATGGAGGAGAGCGGGGAGAGGATAGGAGGAGAGGAGCAGCTCGACCCCAAGTCCAAGGCCCTGGAGAGCATCCGGTGGTACGAGACCGTGAGGATGCAGCCAGGGGGCTTCCTGGATGTCGAGGAGGAGTATGGAGACAGCTCGCAGCAGATCAAGGAGTTCAAGTTCACCTTTGAGCTGAGGATGCGGGAGGGATACGACAAGGCTAAGGACGTGAAGTGGTTCCCAGCCATTGGTGATGAGCCGACGTCGCAGGAGGAGAAGGAGGAAGTGGAGGCGAGAAGGTCTCCTTTCGTTCTCTCCTCCTACCTGCTTGCTGCTCGTTCTCTGCTGTCCACGCTCTCCACGTCCTGCTCCTCTGTCCTTTGCTTGAAGGCTTCCCAAAGCTCTCCTCTGCGTCCTCGTCCATGCTTGCTGTGGCTGACTTGTAGAACTTGCAGAGAGCAGAGGCGAGCTGAGGAGATGGCTCGGAAGAGGGAGGCGCTGAGGAGGATGGCGGCGACAGAGGCACGGGAGCAGGTGCGGGTAGCGCACGCGACGGAGGTCGTGAGCTGCTGTGCTCCCACGTTCGACCCATACCTCAACGACGCCTGGACTGTGAGGAAGGAAGTCACACGCAATCTCTTGACGCAGATCCACAAGGTGAGGAGGGAGGAGGTTGCCCGTTTGACCTCCCCTGACGCTCCTCCCTTCCCGCGCCCAGGTCATCATCAGGAACAGAGTCGAGCGCAGGATCGCTGCGATCAACAACAAGCTCGACGTGATGGAGGGCGCGAGCGGGCGGCTCGTCGACTCGATCCTCACTGCCGAGTCGTTGCCTCCGACCTCTCAGGGGAAGCGAGAGAGCGGAGTGGGAGGGGGCATGACGACAGAAAAGTTCCTTGTCAGCCTGTTCCCTTCCTACCGGCCCGCGAACTTCCGCGACCGCGAGCCCGTCCCCGTGCGGGCAGCTGAGGTGGCGGAGGAATGGAACTTCCTGCTCCTCAAGGTTCCATCGACCTACAAGCTGATGTGAGTTGACTTGGTGAGGTCGGGAGGGGAAGGCTGACGAGGAGCAGGGGATACCGGGAGGAGCAGAGGGAGGCGATCTCCGTGTACATGCCTGCAGAGGAGGAGAGGGAGCCAAGGACCGGGGCGGGAGCCGAGGAGGGGATACGGGGACCGAGGGGATCGATGGCTCCGAGCGAGGAACAGCCGCTGCTAGAGATGCCAGGGTGCTGCGTGGAGGAGCCGGGGGGACAGAAAGTGTGCGCGTGCAGGTTCTTCGAGCCGAGCAACGCACCTGCGATAGGGAGGCAGAAGTGCTTCGTGTACGAGGCCGTGGAGGATCACGAGGAGACGGCGATAGACTTCGAGCTGCGCGCGTTCCCCCGGGTCGTGTGCGACGAGGATCTCAAGTGTCACTCGAGCATCCCTGAGAAGAACCGTGGGAAGCCGCTGGAGGCCGTGCTGATGGGGTGAGTGATGTGCATGGAAGAGAACGGTGTAGAGGTCGACATGACGATGGAGATGGAGATGATGAAGACTGAGATGATGATGGTTATGATGAAAGTGATGATGGTTATGAAGTAGATGTAGAGTAGACGTAGGTGTAGATGTAGATGTAGATGTAGATGTAGATGTAGATGTAGATGTAGATGTAGATGTAGATGTAGATGCGATGGAGAAGTACTAAAGATAGTTCTCATCATGATGGAGAGGACCATGATGACGGCAGTAGAGACGATGACGATGAGGGTGCGGGATGATCTTTCTGCAGGCCCGTGATCGAGGGAGCCATCGTTCCCGAGCCAGAGCCCCCGTCGATGAACACTGTGCGATCTTACCGAGGAAACTTCGCTCCTGTACTGAGGTGAAGAATTTTTTGCTGCTCCTGCTCCTGCTCCTGCTCCTGCTCCTGCTGCTCCTGCTCCTGCTCCTGCTCCTGCTCCTGCTCCTGAGCCTCCTCCTGCTCCTGCTCCTGAGCCTCCTCCTGCTCCTGCTCCTGCTCCTGCTCCTCCTACGCACTGACCCACGTCATCACAGCTCCAGATGGCTGGCGAAGAATGAACTACCTTCTTTCCTCACTTCCCCGACCCCCACCTTCATGTATGGGCCCGATGCTGCGGACCAGCAGGTCTCTTTCTGACGTCCTGAGACCTTCTGTCCTCACGATCTGGCGCAGAGCGATCATGAGGAAGAGGAAGAGGAGGGAGGAGAGGAGGAAGGAGATTCCAAACCGCCTCCTGTCACTATCAGCCCACCGACTGAGCGCTCCATCCGTGAAACATTCAAGGTATAGAAAGAAGGATGGAGGGAGGGGAGGAGGGAGGGGGGGGAGTATGATGATGATGATGATGATGATGATGTTGCTACCAGCTGCCAGCAAATCTACGGAAGGACAACGAAACAGAGGGAGGAGAAGGAGAACGAGAAGGGGGAGGGGAAGAGGCAGAGGGAGAAGGGAACGAGGGGAAGGAGGAGGCACCAGAGCACAAGGAAGGAGTTCAACCCGTGAAGATCCCCCTGAACGCCAGGACGATGCACGAGATGGTGAGGTTTCCTCCTCCTCCTCTCGGCCGTGACCTGCTGCATGCAGGAGATGGAAGCAGAAATTCGACAGGCCCGCAAGGAGTGCCTGGCTCTCCTCCCTGCTGAGCTGCAGTAAGTTTCCTTCTGCTGCTGCTGCTGCTGCTGCTGCTGCTGCTGCTGCTCCTATCTCTCTTGCATCTCAATGCTTGCTCCTTCCTTCCCTCACCCCCCAACCTTCTTCGCGCTCTTTCGTCCTGCCCTTCCGTTCTCAGCTGTGGATTTGACATGAGGACAGCAAAATCAATCAGCTCATTGCGGACCCCAAGAAGAAAATTCCCGTAGAGCCGTCCATCTACCAGTGAGCACTCCCTCCCTCCCTCCCTCCCTCCCTCCCTCCCTCCCTCCCGTCTCCTCCTCCTCCTCTCCTCTCCTGATCCCTCTCGCTCCTCCTCCTCGCTTCCTCTCTCTGGCTCCTAAGAGACTGTTCCTCCTCCTTTCGCCCCTCCTTCCCCTCCCCCTCCTCTCCCCTGCCGCTCCTCGCTTGCTCACGTTTCCTGCCTATAGACCGTCTCCCCTCCACTGGTTGAATTTGCCGCCCCGAGAAGCTGTAAACTCCAAGTGAAGACAAGCAGGAGGAGGAGGAGGAGGAGGAGGAGGAGAAAGTAGCAGGAGTAGAGTGGCTATTTCTTGCTCTTTGTTTCACTCGCACGGGATTCCAACTGCTCAACCCGAGTCTCCAGAGCATCCAACCTTGTCCTCAATTCCTGCATGGCGTCAACCTGCTGCTGCACACTCGTCATCTCCATGAACAACCGCTCTCCCGCGTTCCACCTCCTCCCTCACTGGCATGATGGATGAGCCTCCTGCTCCTCCCGTCAGCCCCCGCTGACTCTCCTTGCATGCTCACCAGAGGAGAAGATCCCAACCCCCACTCCGTACCCGCAGCCGATCCCGCATCCTCCTCCGACTCTCGCCTGCCATGGCCTCACTGGAGCTCTCCTGGCATGCGGGTTCACCGAAGGGAAGTATCGAAGCGCCTTCCGCAGCAGGTCCATCATGGTGTATCCTCCTGCTCCCCGTCAGCGATCGCGGAGAGGGGAAGACAACTCTATCAACCGGGCAGCTGCGACAAGATCCTTCCTAGCGGCGACATCGCGACGCTGTCGAACCCTCCTCCTGCAAGAAAGTCTTCATCTCCTTTACGCCACCTTGAAGTGGAGGGTGGGAGGAATCGAGGAAGAAACGAGGTGACCAGGAAAGGATGAGGGGAGGAGGGGTAGGATGGGAGGAGGTACCTGCCCCTGTCAACGGGAAACCAACGCCGATTCCCATCCCCACCCCACAACCAGCTCCTGCTACCTCATCTTCAGTATCTGCTCTCTTATCCTCCTCTCAAGCACCAAGCATTAGGCCATGCCCAGATCGGATGCAAAGAGGACCAATCTCAATGAACGTTCGTTCCAGCTTGCGCAGATCGGGCAACTGAATCTGCAGGAATGGACGACTTAGCATGGATAAACGAGCATGATGAAGATGTTTGAGAGAAAGAATGAGCGCAGATCTTTTACGTGCAGAGGCAACGGGGGAATACAACATGACTGCATAGAAAATGATGCGCAAGCAATGAAGCCATGGAAAGAAATCAATAGCAAGGGAGAGCATAGGAGAAAGATGGAAACATTTTGCGAGCAAGAGTACGAGCAGAGCGATCGAGCATGCTGCCTTTACATGAATCGGCTCAGGGAACGCCATGTTCCCAGACTTGAACCTCCCGACGTCGAATGCTGCGGCCACCTTTCACCATCTCCTCACACTGCCGCGCCGCTTCTCGTTACTGACTACCATCTTCTCTCTCCTCCTCCTCCTCATCGATCATGTACACCACTCGTCTTCATCTTACCGGCGTCGCTCCTGCCGCCCCCCATCGCGCTCGCCGCCAACATCAAGAACAAGGACGGCGACATGCGCCCGTTCTTGCCTTTTGTGTTCGTTGAAAACCGTTATAGACAACAGAAATCTTGTAACGATATTGCAACCGTTACTTTCTCCGCCAGAATCTGGGTCCCAAAATAGATCCCCGGCCAACAATGTCCGCCGGCGACTGATTCTGCATGGCGCTTACTGGCTCCATGCAGAGGAACCGCCCCATACAACCATCCCTCGCTCTACCATCCCTGCGCTCTCCCTCCTCCCTATCCCTCTGCCTGGCCCTGCTTCTTGCTCTTCCTTTGGAGTCCGTCAGAGCGGATCTCGCGCGCTTTCAAGACCTTTTCCACACTCCGTTCCGTCCGCAGGACTCTCGTCACTTCCAGGTCCTTCCTCCTCCTCCTCCTCCTCCTCCTCCTCCTCCTCCTCCTCCTCCCACCCCTCCTCCCACCCCTCCTCCCCCTCCTCCGCCACATCCTCCTCCATGTCCCGCCTCCCCCTTCTTCGTCCTCTCCTCCAGAAGCTGCTCGCTGCAGTCTTTCCTAACAGCTGTCACAGGTCGACGAGTCTTCCACTTTCACGGCCAACCCTGATCTGCGATTTGTGTTGAGCTATGCTGACGGGTCGGAGCTGCGAGGTTTTGGGGGCGACGACGTTGTGCATGTGAGAGCGCGAGGAGCGTCTGCCTTGCCCTTGTTCTCACTCCTCCTTAGGTCGGTGACTTCCATGGACTGGCTCCGTTCGGCTTGCTGTATCAGTGTAACAGCCCGGACTTTAACGGGGTAGATGGTATCTTGGGGTTCGGGCTCCCGAAGCCTGGGACACAAGGGAACGAGTTGCCGCGGCCTCTGCTGTGGGCGCTGACAGACAAGATCAAGCACGACTCGAACGCTCAAGCTCTTCAGCGCAAGTTCTCCTTCTACTCCACGGATGATGCTGCCGAGCTGCAGTTGGGCGGCTACGATCCCAAGAGCTGCGAGGATGTGATGCATTACACGCCGTCGCTGTCAAAGACTGACTACATCGTTGGAGTCACTTCCGTCAAGTTCGGACGAAGCGCACATGATGCTCGTGAGCTGCTTCAGTTCTCAAACCCGACAGGAGGCGAGTATCTTCCTGCCATCATGGACTCGGGGACCTCGTGCCTGGTGCTGCCGGGGAGTCACCTGAACGGGAGGCTGGCGAACGATCCCTTCTCCGACTTCCAGAGCATGTGGTCGCTGGACAACTCTTTCTTCATCTCGATAGGAGGACGAAGTTTTGAGATCCCCTCTTCCTCGTGGTTCCTGGCGAGAACCAACCAAACCTGTGTGCAGCCTTCTCCCAACGGGATGATCGGCCTGCTGATTGGAGACGTCTTCTTCCGGTCTTACCTTGTCGAATTTGACATGACCGATCAGGAGAGGCCTGTGATCGGCATCGCGAAGCTGAGCTACATGGTGTCGCCGGTCAAGACTGCTGACCTGGATTACTACCACCTCCCCAGGGTTCCGGTGCAGAAGCTCCGCCTGCTCAAGGGCGAGGAGACTATGTATCCGTCAGAGCACACGGAGCGGCTGAGGGAAGTGGACAGGATCCCCATATCGGACAAGAAGGGCACGCAGTACTTCATGAACCTTGCCATCGGGACGCCGCCGCAGCCGTTCACAGTCATCTTCGACACCGGGTCAGCGGTGTTCGGGGTGTTCACGGAGCAGTCGGAGTTGCCGCTGTCCATCTCCTCGAAGCTCATGGGAGGAGCGTCGCTGCACGTGGAGGCAGATGCGATGAGCTCGCTCATGGTGTGGCCCAAGGAGGACAGCAGCGGGGAGACGCTCATGGTGAAGGGATCGAAGTCTGCGGTGCTGGAGGGGATGCGACGGAGGGGACAAGCCAGCGCGCTGCTACTGGCGGGGCTAGATCTCTCAGCGAGGAGGGCAGGAGCAGGAGCAGGAGCAGGAGTCAGAGGCTCTTCCAACGGGATCGTCGGGGTGGCGGCGGTGATTCTTTCTCTTATTGTTTCTGTTAGTTTGCTCGTGGCTGCAAGGAGGCGGCGGGCGACTCAATCAGCGCGACATGCGTACGTGATGCTGGATGTCTCGCACGCGACGTGGCTGAATGGCGGGGAGGCGACCAGGACAGACTCGCATGCTTGAGGGTGTTGAACTGTGAATGTACATTGCCAGCTTACTTGTCGATTCCTCTGCTGCCCCTCCTCGAACTTCTTCTGCAATTTCCTCTCGTCCTCCTCTCTCCCCTCGTCCTCCACGCCACCAGCTCCTCCTTTCACTCCACGCTCTCGACGGACCGAACCTTGTTGAACTCGTCCAGCGACAACAGCTTGCAAGACTCCCGCAGCTTGTTCTCTGGCGAGGAGTCAGCAGGGCCACCAGTGCTACCAGCGGACGTCACCGAGCTCTCGTCGTGGTTGGATGATGCTGATGAAGCCCTCGGATGAAGCCTAGCAAACAGCTCTCAGTGGCAGGAGGAGGAGGAGGAGGAGGAGGAGGAGTAGGCGCACAAGCACCTTCAAGTTGAGCAGGTCTGGGTTGCTCTGCAGGTTGGAGTTCATTTCAAGCAGATGGCCCTGTCCATGCGTTAGGAGGGGGACGAAGAGCAGGTGGATTTTGAGAAACAGAGTAGGATACAGGAGGATGTGAAAGAGGAGATGTTGTTGTTGGTGAAGACGATGATTAATGGTGATGATGATGGATGCTGATGCTGATGCTGCTGATGATGACAATGATGAGGATGAGGATGACGATAAGGACATGAAGAAGACCTGTATAGCAGCTCGTATCTTGAACCTGCTCCCATCATCGCACACCACATCACATAGTCGGGAGTCTTCCTTGACAAACCTGCCCATCCTGTCAGCCCACCACCAACTCCCGACGCCATCGTCGCACAAGGATCCGTTCTTCTTCTTCCCTGACGGCTTCACTTCCGTCTTGTCGCCTGATCGTCCCACGTCGAAGTCCACGGCAACGATCCTCCTCCCATCTCTGAACGCCACGTGCGAGGGAGCCAGCCCCACGACACAGAGCGAGTTGAAATGCTGGTAGACGAACTGGTCGGCTCCTTCCTGTCCTCCCACGTTCGTGGCGAAGTAGTGCGTGTAGTCCCGCTCCCTTGCAAGCAGCTTCTCCCTCGACCGCAGGCACGCGGCGCCCACTGATGTCTGCGTCCTTCAAAGATGTTTGTCACCACCACCACCACCACCACCACCTCCTCCTCCTCCTCCTCCTCCTCCTCCTCCTCCTCCTCCTCCTCCTCCTCCTCTCACATATGTCCGGATTCTTCGCCTGTCTTGAGACGTTTGCGAGGGTTTTCAACGCCATCCTCCATGCTTTCACCGCCTTCAGCATGGTCGTTCATTTCCTCCTCCTGTTCGCATGCGTCATCCGCTCCCTCCCTCCCTCCCTCCCTCCCTAGCTTCTCTCCCTATCGCATTCCCTCTCCTCTCCTCTCCTCTCCTCTCCTCTCCTCTCCTCTCCTCTCCTCTCTTCTCCTCTCCTCTCATCTCCTCCCCTCCCCTCCCCTCCCCTCTCCTTTCCCGTTTGCCCCATTCGTTTCCACCGGCCTCATTTCCTTGCCCCCTCATCCCCTAATTTCTGTGCGGCTCTGGGAGGAGCGGGAGGAGGAGCAGGAGGAGGAGCAAGAGGAGGAGCAGGAGGAGGAGCAGGAGGAGGAGCAGGAGCAGCAGCAGCAGCAGCAGCAGCAGCAGCAGCAGCAGGAGGAGCAGCAGGAGCAGCAGCAGCAGGAGAGCAGGAGGAGAGAAGGAGAGTTAGGAGAGAGTGAGGAGGCGAGTGTTCTTTGCCGCCCCCATCCAACCCCGTTCACACCAACACCTCCTCTCCTCTCCTCTCCTCTCCTCCTCCCCCTCCCCTCCCTCTCCCCTCCCCTCCCCTCCCCTCCCCTCCCCTCCTCCTCTTGTTCTCTTCCTCTTCATCGTATACGTCAGCGGGATAGAGGATGTCTTCTAGCCTGTGCTTCAACAGAGGAGGAGGAGGATGGTTCATGCTGGAGAGAGGGCAAGCAGCAAGCGGCATGCTGGCCGTTACGAGGCCAGTAAGCATGAGGAGGAGGAACAGCGGAGAGAGAAGCTGCGGGGCCAAGGAAGGGGAAGGGGAGCTGTGGCTCGATCTGAACCCTGGCATGCCCAGAAGCAGCGCTCGCCTCCTGTGGACGTTCAGAGTCGCTCCTTCGCTCACAGCCCTCGCCTCCCTCGGCCTCCTCGCCTCCTTCCTCTCTCCTCCTTCCTCCCCACCTCCCTTGCAGCTCCTGCTCGATGCTTCCAGGTTCGCTTTCATGCTGCATGTTGTAGCCGGTGTGGCGGCATCGACGTGCACGGGAGGAGGGCTGGGGAGTAGGAGCAGGAGCTTTGCCGCAGGCTTCCTCTCCGGTTTCATCTGCATCGACGATCTACTCAAGAGGAGGGACGATGGATGGAGACAGCGAGAAGGAGGGGGGGGGGAGGGGGAGGAGGAGGGGGGGA